TATTAAAATTTGAGCCAATTAAAATTTATTTTTTTACATATTAAGTTCAAGTTGATTAAATTTATTTTTTTACATATTAAAAATTTGAGCAGATTAAAATTCGTTTTGAGTTAATTAAATTTTATTTTTTTACATATTAATTTGAGCCTCTTAAAAAAAAAATTTACGTATTAAAATTTGATCTGATTTGAGTTATACCTAAGTTGCTAGCGCCAATTAAAATTCGCTTTCGAGTCTATTAAAATTTATATTTTTTTATTTATTAAAATTCGTGTCAATTAAAATTCGATTCATTAAAATTTATATTTTTTATGTATTAAAATTTGGACCAATTAAAATTCAATGCGAGTTGATTAAAATTTGATTTGAGTCGATTAAAATAATTTTTAATTAGCTCAAATAGAATTTTAATCGGTTCAAATTTTAATACGTAAAAATTTAATTTTTAATCGACTCAAATTTAAAACGTAAAAAATGAATTTTAATTAGTTCGAAATGAATTTTAATCGACCCGAATTTTAATATGTAAAAAAAATTAGAAAAAATAGGGGGTCTCATTAAAAATATGCTTATCTAAAGCGGTGTGGATGAAGTTTGTCCTCATATATTTTTTTTGGGCAATTTAGTATTTTAGTTAATATTTTTAATCCAACAAGAATGCTAGTGAAAATTCAAAAAATATAGAAATTGTCTTTAAATGTATGATAAACTAGAAGGGATGTAATTAAAATTTTTTCAAACCATAACAACCATGTTTGTCACTTTTTTTGGCATTTACCCTCCCCCCCCCCCCCCAAAAAAAAAAAAAAAATCGTTTGTTGCTTTGGCTGGCCTCCGCATCTCTCAAGTACTGGACACCTGAAACTCCTCATCCTCAAGCACTCACTCATCTTTCGCCTGCTATGATTCACCTTGCCAATTGAAGTCAAATTCAACGCAAATCTGCCACCCTCGATAGTCATCGTTGAAAATCTGTTGTGACTCTCGATCAACATGGTTGAAGATCTACTTCATTCACTGAGATATGGGTTTTGCATTGTGATTTCATTCATTCACTTGACCTAGTAAATACATATCTCTCTATCTCTTTGCAATTTAGAAAGAGTTAGTTGATACTTGATATTGTATAAATTTTAGCCTATTTCAATTGATTCATTAACAATTTCAAACTGTGCAATTAGGAGCAATTCAATATATTAGCAAATTTTGGATAAATCTTGAAATTATTTGTAGCTGATTGTTTCTCGGGAAAATGAACATGAAGAAACAAATAAACAAATTCTACAAACGAAAGAAAAATTTACATAAAATCAAGAATTTGTTTGGATGAGGAGCAGTGAGTTATCCGATTGAGAGGGAATGGCATAATTTTCTTGGGAAAATTGAGGGGGAATAGGATAGGTGATCGAGAAGAACAAAAAGAGTCAATCTTAAAATTATTTGCTATTGATATAATCCACATTTAATCTAGTGTCAATTATAAGATTATCGTCTAACTGCTCTCAAAAATTTTGGAAGTTTTGTTCTCCAACTATTCTTGAAAAAAAAATTGTACTTTGTTTTCTTAAATGTTCATTCGTATATAAAAAATAACAAGGGGACTTATGGTCTAACCTATTTATTTTAGCAAGATTACAATACAAAATAGACCTAATTATTCTTTCATTTTCCGACTCCCAAACAATCTCATCAAAAAAAAAAAGACTCCCAAACAAAGCGACAATAACATTCTTTTACCTTTCCACACTTGAAATTCTTTTCTATTTTTCATCTCATAAATTTCAAACAAAAATAAGTATTTTTTTTCTTTTCTTTTCTCTTGAAAACACTATTCAAACATTGTGTTTGAAATTTGAAAGATAGACATAAGTGGGAGAATAGATTAGAGTTTGAAAGATAAGACGGACAAATCACTTTGTCTATGAGTTTTGAGGGGAAAAGAAAGGAAATAGAAGAAATGAACACATTTCAAAATTTCTTCTAACCTAATTTTGTGATCAACTCAAAGGTGGTCTGAATCGATCAAAAAATAAATGAACAAAATAATATTTTAGTAATATAAGATAACGCTTTTTAAAAGTGTTTCTGGTAATTTTTTTAAATACATATTAAAGTTGTATTTATTTTTATATTTTATTTTATTTTCATTTATTGGAGTTTACTTCCTTTTTCTACTAATAATTATATATATAGTAATATATAATACACGTGTATAAAAAATATAATATATGTAGTAAAATCTATTTAAGTTATTTTTTTTACAAAATAACAATTTAGCATATATTTTTATTTTTTTAACAAAATTACTTTTTATTTAAAAAATTAAAAAAAATAGTATCAAAACTCAAATCCCTACCAAAGAGTCAAAAGACTATTTGCCTGGTCTCTCTCTCTCTCTCTCTCTCTGACTAGGGGTTACGGATTTAATCCATTGAATGTCTTTTCTCTCTGATCTTCTTTGCCAGTATACTTTATCTCTATTGTTTGCTTAATTCTATGCAATAAAAACCCTAACTTGTTCTTTATTTACTCCCACAGCTACCCTTACCGTGTTGACCATCAATGGATCCTCAACCTGAACCCGTGAGCTACATCTGCGGTGGTGTGCATCTTATCTCTCTCTCCGCTCTCCCTTGTTCTATCTCTATTGACATATACAAATGTTTACATATCTTAATACGTGTTGGCGAATCTACATATATGTGTATGTATCTTGATTTATTTGCGATATTTCAATTGAGTTAATTGGTTGTGTAGATTGTGGGCAAGAAAACACACTGAAGCAGGGTGATGTGATTCAATGCCGAGAGTGCGGTTACAGGATTTTGTACAAGAAGCGAACCCGCAGAAGTAATTGATCTCAGTACCCTTTTTTGTACTATTTACATTCATTGCTTTCATCAAAATGGGTTATACTTAAAATTCTTATTATTTAATCTGTTCTTTTTCTTAATGCTTACAGCTAATGGTTTTCTTGCTTACTCTATAATTGATGTGGCAACTGTTTTGTTTTGTTGTTCATCTTGAAATTTATGTTGGGTTTTGATTTCAGGGAATCAGCTTTTTTCAAAATTCTAGGATACTTGAAAGTTATAGGACGACGTTTGTGGCTTATCACAAGCTAAAGTTTTGCGAACATTATCTGTTTAGACTATGCTTGTTCATTCATGTTGCACCATTGAGCTTTTGTTAATAGGTCTTTGTGATGTAATTTAGTTACTTTTTAGGCGTACAACTAGTGTGCGATAATTTATGTCATGTGATACAAAAGATTCAATTGAAAACTTCGGATAGCTTAACTAAGCTTTGGATTTTTTGGTTCCTTTTTCTAATAGCATGAATTTGACATATTCATGTGTTGTGTGAAAGAATGATGTTAATAACATATACTATATGGGTATTGGACTGTTTCTCAACATGGAAAGCCATTAACAAGGAAGGAGTGATGGAGTCTTGTGGGGTATTCAGATTTTTTCCATTACACTAGGTGCTTCATTAGCTTTCTTGGTACAAAGCTATTTGGGATCTGGTTCTGCGGTTCATCATAGTTTGTTTAAGTGGTATTTCCATGCAGGAAATCATGGTAATTTGCTACATGGTTTTTGTTTAGTGTATTATTTCCCCAGTTAAGTGCCTTAGCAGATTAGAAATTCTTGGCTTTTCTTATGATGGTGCTGAGTATCTCATTGCGTTAGCAATGAGCCTCAGAATTGAGTGTTCTGTGACAAAATTACTCCTATTGTGGATGTTTGTTCCAATCCTATTATGGACCTATTTGGGCAAAGAGGCTGTTGATATTTTAAGGTTGTGAAAACAGAGTTGGGTTGCTTTATGACTAGTCTAAGTTAGTAAAAATGACACCACATGTAGCTGTCATTACCTGTGCTTTCTTAATGCTAGGATGTTTTTTGGTCCAAGGAGACAATAACAGTGCTTGTTGTGGTCATGGTTTGAACACATTGTGCTTCTGAATACTACACATTTGGTATCTGCTTTTAATATATACTTAGTATTGTAGCTGATGCCTTAATAGTGATATTACAAGGGGTCAAACTACTACATCACCTCTTCATTTTATCTTGCATCTGCCATGTTCCTGATTTTAGTTTTGGTCTCATTTAGTTAGTCTTTGTAATGAGCTGTAATGTATTGCCTTCCATGTTACACCTTTGAGAATCACTATACGAGGATGATTAATGGTAGGTGTAAGCATGTTGACCTTACCTTGTTCTCATGTTAAAGTCAATTTCATGCCTTCATTTCACTTCAGTTTCTGCAGGGTAAGTCTCTTGTTCGGTCTCTGTTTTCTTAAAGTTGTTTCTTTAAATGTTGGACTTCATTCTGTGACAGTTTTTTTATGTTTGCATTTTTGGGATTTTAGCTTTTATGATCACTTCCTTTTGAGATTGTTTATGCTGCAAGTATGGAGTTTGATGTGCTATTACAAGAATTGCAAATAATACTCCTATGTTGTGGTTCATTGATGCTAAATGTGATCTAGTATCTACCAAACAATTTTGGAGAGCACGGCAGCATGGACTTACCTGATGTGTGACAAATTTTTTCGTTTTTATTTTGTATTGGATATCAAAGATGAAATGCACTGTGTGTGATTGCTTTGCTTGCTTACCAAAAAGCAAAGTGATTGTTCTGTTTTAGGTTCCCTATGCCTTCAAAGTTGTATTTGGTTCCCTAAATAATGCTCTGCTTACTTGGTTTGGTACTGTTTGCTGCAGTTGTTCAGTATGAAGCACGCTGAAGTCAGCATTGCAAGAAGCCCTACCTAAAATTTGATGATACTATATGTATTAAGTAGCTCTGATGTAATACTGCAAGATGCATTGTGGTTGATCTGTGTATGCTTTGCTATAATAATCGATGGAATCGCCGGATTTTTGTGAACTTGGATTAAGTGCAATTAATCTAGTATTTTCATACTGGTTCCGTGACTACACCACTTCAGTTTTTCTGTAGACGCAAATAAATCATGTGTTGCATTAGCTTGGTACTATCCTGTAGTGCAAATCATTGAGATTTGTTTTACAATTCTAAGTCTAAACCACACACCTTTTCCCATCACTAGGAATTGTCTTGTGCAAAGTGAGGTGTGTGCAATGCTTTTTATAACGCATTGGATGCAAATGGAGCAGTTCTCACAGAAATCTTATTCCTAAGGTTTGGGTTTGGGTTTGGGAGTGCTGAACAACTCTCGCCCTGCTTGATTGATAGGCCTAATATTCGATTATTTTGTCAAAAATTCAGCAGGATACAACTCCAATCCAAACGTAACAAGACTCAATTGCCACTTGTAATTTAGGTTTCTTGGAATGCAAATGGGCATGCATCAAATGGTTAGGCACTAAAGAGAGCTCAAACAAACACTTTCATAAACATAAAGCATGCAACTCTTATGCTTTAATGTTATTAAGTTCTTCGGTGTACATAACCAGTGAAAAGCAGCATTGGGTCTCTGAGGTAGATTGTGGATCAGCCGTGGAAGGCAGCAATCTCTATCCCCTTGTTATTGTAACCTACAGGTGCATCATATTTGCTGAAAAGCCTATACGAGGAGATGAGTGAGAGCACTGCATAACAAAAAACCACAACGAAGGTGATGGCTATGGGTGCCGTGGCCTTTCGACAAAAGCCCCCAAATGACCCACAAGCTTCGCTCCATGTTATGGCCTCGTCTCCTTTATACGCCAGGTACAGCACTTCCGTCGAGACTGCACCGGCGGCCAGTATTATGTATGTTAAGACCTACACGTAATGTATCATGTATTAACATCACAACTGTTTGAAGTATAAATACTTAAGTTCCAATAGTTTGAGCTTTTGAAGTAAATAATTGTTTAAAATAGTATCAAAACCGATGGTCATGTGTTCGAATCTTACCGTCACCCTAATTATTAAAAAATATTCACGTGCTAGGCCCAAAATCTAACATGCACATAAGGTGACGTGTTAGAAGTATAAATACTTAAATTTCAAGGGCTTAAGTTGTTGTAGTAGATGGTTGTTTAACAAGACCTAATAATTTCAGACAGAATTTGTGAGTTTGACACAGATTAGATTAGAGTGGGAAATAGGTAGATCAATTAAACCCGTTTAATAAAAGAGTCCAACATGAATTATGCTAATTTTGACACCACACCAACCTAGCACAGCAAGATTTATTTCTAAACCTAATTAACATTGATATGTAAATGTGTAAACCTTTGAATTTAAGGAAAAGGAATGGATTTCTGCCAACCTGGTCGAGGAGGAAGAAGGTCCAGGCTCTAGACATGGTGGAGGGACGAGGTACGGCAGCAACGACAGCTGAGAGGAGAGAATAACCAGCACAAATACCATTGGCATGCACCAAATACCTGCATATATATTGCATGCAAATAATAAATCCTTCAGACATTCCAAGAATTTTGTGACAAAGATGACTCAAATCAAGAAATTATTATGCATTTTCCGTAACGAGACACATGCCAGTAGTAAATTTCTTTTACCCGTTATTAACCATAAGTTGTTCCATTGTGACATGATTGAACTCTAAGTGTCCAAAATAATTTTTTTTTTTTTATTTTGATTCGAAGGTCAAAAATATTCGGATCAATTTACCCGTATATCAATTAATCCCCTATCCGGTCTGATTAAAAACAAACTATTTATACTGAGATTAGGGTATTCACAAACGACTCAGGAAAATCTCTCTTAATTCGTCTCTATTCTTACTTGAACTATTCTTACAGTTTCACGGAAACATCGTATAATTAAAATTATGTATATATATGTGACCGTTACAAGATCCCTCGTGCAACCCTTTTTTTCTAATTTAGAACGGGAGTAAATGTAACGGTGATACCCTAGAAAGGAGAGCATGCATCACCAACCATGAATAAATCAATTATTAGTAGTCATACTTACATGCCAACATGTTTAGAGAAAGAATTGAATGATTTACCTGAAAGCTCCAAGGTCAGAGTAGGAGAGAGAACCAAAGTCATTAGTCTGTGAGTTCTTGAGCATGACCACAAGGGCCACCACGCATAGAGCCATCGGCAACAAACGCAGCAACGTCTCCGCCGTGCGCATGACGGTGCTGCCATTTTCATCCTCCCCATCTCTTGTTGAAATATCCATTGGAGAGCTTCCTGAAACTACTGCACCACTTTTCTCTCTCTTGTCCGCCATTGTTGGAGCTTCTCTCTCTCTCTCTTGGTTTCTCTGTGCCACAATCTAAGTTTTTGGTGGAGATGACAGTGAGGGAGGAGGTGAAGGAGGTCTCACTACTTATTAATGAGTTTTAGGTATGGTGGGTGGTTATGCATTGAATGCCCCATCAAAGCAGGCCACACTTTCCCATACAACAGCATGGATAACTCTCTCTCTCTCTCTAGATCTCTCTCCCCCCAACCCACCCACGCACAACAACCACAACCAGTCCCTAGGTTCATCCCTTTAGGGAAACATTCAAGATGTTGCACTTTTGCATAGGTGTAATGGTAATTGGACAATGTGACTGGCGACGTGTGTGTATTGTGACCTAAAGAAGCCTAACGTGTGTAGCAAACTGATTATACAATGGTGCTTAAATTTTAAACACTAGGGACCGGTAATTGAACAACAACAAGGCATTCGATCAAAAAAAAAAACAATAAGGCCAAAAAAAACGTGACATTTGATGATACACAAAATATTTTTATTCAAAATTAACAATTGAGTGAATGATGTAAAAAATTAATGAAATAATTAATAAAGTAATCAGTGACAAAAAAATAAATATCTGGTTAACACACAGATATATGGTGGTTCAATGCGGGTGACATACTCTACTCTGGGAAATGACAACGGTGACCAAAGAACCTTTATTGATAAAATAAAATGAGAGAGAGAGAAAGAGAACAATTGTTAGCATCAGGAGGGATATTATAGCTAAGAGAGAAAAAAGTTATGTAAGGGGTGTACAAAGAGGTGTATAAAGATCAAAAAATGTCATCTCGTGTTGAGAGGGCTTACAATTTATAGGCACAAAGTCTTAGTTAAGACGGTGACGCGAGAGTAAATGTACTAATTCTCCAGATAGCTATAAAAGGTAAGTGTCATTAAAGATTGTCTTGATCTTCGAGACTGAGTATTCCGATAATTGTTTTCCACGTACTTTAATTCTTCTTGGATTCCTTCAAACTTTGGGTTGGGGTTGAATTCAAAAACCGGAATTGACATGCCATTTTGCTGATTTGAGTTTACTTAGTTTATTGGGTTTGACCCGATTAGATTTGGACTTATCAACATTGAGTGTCTTTATTATCTTCAAGGATCTGTTTAGTTAGAAATAAAAGAATAATAAAAAAATAAAGTGAAAAAAAAAATTATATATATATATATTTTCATGCATGCATTTGATTAACATGAAAAATTTGCGAGAAAATTTTTAAAAAATTTCATTATATTATTTGAAAGAAAGGTAATTTACAAGAAAATTTTTCTAATTGTTTAAATTACTCTTAATTATATTAAATTGGTCTAAAAAATTTAAAAAAATATATGTATTATAATTAAAAATTAAATTCTTTAAAAGAATGACTAATAACAAATTATGGGACAAGGACAAGCACGAAAGTATCTAGGCCAAAATATATGATTAACTAAATTCATATCAAATTTTTTAAAAATTAATAATGAATAAAATATTTTTTAAAAAATAAAAGTAAAATAAAAAGTGTCCAATATCCTTATAGTGATGTTTTGTAAGCTGAACTGCCTATTTTTTAAGTGCATGGCCCAACTCCCAAGAATAATGAAACTAGGCAGCATCAATCACAGATCTTTAACGTTGGTGGTTGTGCTTATATTTTTTGAATTACTTTATTATTATATCTTCTCAATATAAAAAAGTGTACATCACCTATTATATCAGAGTTTAGAAAATATTAAATGTATGAAATCTTATCCTGCAAACAAAAAAATTATTTTTGTGACTCGATCACGTAACCTCTAAGTCACAATAAAACACTCTTACCGTTGCGCCAAAACCTGCGCTCGTAATATGCCACAATAAATTTCAATCCAATAAAGAGCATGTTCTGTTTGAGAATCTTCTTTTTTGAAACAAATTTGGATATAAACATAAATTGCAATGTACAGTAATTTCATCCATCTCAGTCTAAATAAAACTCAATTATACCAGGAATTAGTATGAGAACAGAGAAGGGTTATCATGATTTCTCTCTTATGATAAAAGGTAAGAAGATTGAGTTACACTGAAGAGATACTGTGGAAAGTTCACAGAAGACCATCCACCAATGTGTTCTTGTGATCTTCTTCCAAACCTGACTTGATCACCATAATTTCATGATAAATTTTATCGTACTTGGCACGAGCTTCTGCGAATTGAGACGTCAAATTAGACAGCTCTTCTTCTTTCAAAGCGATCGATTTCTTAAGCAAATCAGCTATTTGTTGCTGCTGGTCCCTTGTAAATTGCAGGGCTTGATAGGCCTTACTTAACTCCATGATCTTCTTTACTTTAACAAGATGGATGTTAAGCCATTCCATGTCGAATCCAACCTTCCTCATGTCAGCTAGGGACTCGAGCATCTCAAACAACTGATACTCACTTAAATCTTTGACAGGAGTAATTTGCAAGGTTTTGACAATCAAGCATATGGTTTCCAAGTAAGAGGACCTAAAAATCTTCGAACCAATAGTGCAGTTCCTAGAGATATCCCCGTACTTTACTGTGATTGCCTTAAAAATGTCAGTTAATTCACCTCTCAAGAAATATCCATCAACATTGGTAAGTGAGTTGACAGAAGAACTTGAGGCCAAATAAGAAGCTTGAGGCTCAATGGAATTGGTATCCGAATTTGACATAGTCCCAATTTCCTTTGGATCGATTTGTAGGGGTGGACCAGTTGTATTCATACCCTCTTGATCTTTATCAACATTCTGGGGAGGTGACAGATTCTGGTTTGCAGTCTGGTTGGTCACTTGACTGACATCATTGGACTCAATAGCAATTTCAGATACTGCTTGGTTTGCAGTGTGGTTGGTAGCTTCATCGACCATGCCCGAGGCACTAGCAACTCCAGCTGTTTCATGAATCACCTCATCTTCATAAACTGATTTAATCAAAAAATGGTTTCCCAGTAGTGTGTCTCTTTTTGGTTGGTACCTTGTTCTGTTTTGTATCAAAAGCTGTTAGCCTGTTAGTTAATACAGTTTGGACTAACTTACCAGCAGATGAGCTGGAGGCCTGTTGACATGGCATGGAGGGGACTGCACTGGCCTCATCAGTTGTCGCTCCAGGCAGGTTTTCTGATGATGTAGAATTATCCACTCCAGATGATTGTCCAACCTCCTGCGACAGCAGATCTTAAATGCGTAATTTGAAATGAAGAAGAAGAAGACACACATGTTGTCGATTTTTTAAATTGATGAAGTACCCCAACTTGATGAATTTGCCTCTTATTCCTTTTGCGAGAGCCCCAGATACACTTCATATTTTTAGCCTGAGTCAAGACAGTCACTTTTGTCGAAACCTTGGCCTAGCATTGTTGAATGTATAGTGTAATATCATTTTGTAGATGCCATTTAATTAATCTATCTAATAGGATGCTTAGTAATACCTTGAAATCCATTGATAAACATGCAATTTTCATTTTTAGTAATACTGGGATCTTTTTTTTGTTATGATCTCCTCATCACTTCTATTGATTGGTCCATGACTCTCTTTCAAAGAAGATCACCTATTTCAAGTTCCTAAAGTTGGGGTAGGAGATTCATGGAGGTAACCCTCTGCAATTTTTTTTTTCCTAACCGTCGTTTATTTCATGTAAGGGCTGAAAACATAAAGAACTTACCAACTTTTTGCACAGTTCACAAATAAGATGATCCACTGGCTTATCACCAGAGTCCTGATTGTATTGCTGCTTGTTGCAAGATGCATGCCAGGCATTGCCACTAACCTCGATATACTGCAAAAGGATGGAATGGTCATAAATTTATATAGCCTTATGAAAGAAGATCAGAATAGGAGTGAGTATAAAAGAGGTAGTTTTCTCACCTTGCAATTAGTTATAGGCAAATCACAAGCTCTGCAACGAAAACAACACTCGTGCCAATATTTATGCAAGCGAATCAGAAAGAGTTCAACTGCGATGTTAATATCCTTGAGGCAACCAGAACAATTCCTACAAAGCAATGTTTTGCAATCAATCAGGTAAGTGGAACACAAAATTTGCCATCTTTTTAGTAATTTTTGTTACCTATAACAATGCCCAAAATTCACCTGAACTCTCCATATGTTGACCTACGAAACAGTTCGATAGAATTAGACTGTTCTGGTTGAGACATTCTCAGATCAGATGGCGGGAAGTAGCAGATTATGTGGATTCAATGCTTTTAAGATGAAAGCTCAGCGTCCTGATCTCTGATTTAAATCCTGCCAGTTTCAGCAGAGATGCAGAATGGAAGAGGAAATAAGGATCCAGTAAAACTTTTTGTGCATGCAACTAAATTATTTATGTTATGCTCATGCAGTGGTATAAAAACCATTGCAGGATTAGCTTCTTTTTTTTTTTTTTTTTGGGGGGGGGGGGGGGGGGGGGGGATGTTTATCTTTGAAACATAGTTCATATCGCCATCAATTCCGAAAAATATATAACCACCCAAAGCAATTTGATCTATAGTTCTAATCAAGAGCATGCTTGAGTGAATCCCTAGCTTCACTCCTTCTAAGATCCCTGCCAAGCAAAGTTTTTAAGGGCAAGTTTTTCTGCTAGAAAATGAAAACAGTGCAGGTCTTTGAATGGTACATCATAAAAAAGAGATGACCGAAGTCTTTCTTGCTTAACTTAGGCCTTTGATTTGATTACACTATTGATAAATCAATAAACTTGTCCTGATGATTATCTCATCAGGTTAAGATGGATCAAACAGCTTTCTTTCATTTTTGTATCGTTTCATATAAGACAACCTAGTGCACGAGACTTCCATCAATGTAGACCTGTAAATAATAGATATATGATATTTTTCTTCATGGGTCAAATCCTTGGTGTTTAGATTACAATGAAGTAGTGTTTTCCGCTACACAAGAATCAAAATCCAAATCATCTAAGACAACTATGAATGGAGCAATGAAAATTGGAGAAATGATGAAATAATGTTAAGAGTCACTGAAAATTGGAGCAATCTGCCCTAACCAGGGGAAAATTTTCCCTTTTCTTGTGAAGAATGCAATGAGAACAGCATTTTAACAGGAATCCTTCGAATGTTCTTAAATACATGTTGAAAATATTGCAAGAATTTTACTACTATTTAATGACCAATTCGTAAAATTTGGAGATTTCAAGAGGAAATACCCGTATTTCAGAACCACGACAAGCTCAGAAATTTACACAAACTTTTAAGTCCAAATTATTGTGAGTGGTAAACTTTCTGCAATACAAAACTATCAATTACTGAGTTCGCATGCCATATCAAGCTCAAATAAATTACTCAATACGCTATATTTTCGAGTAATTGCTCAAGATACACCATGTCTATTGTTAAATTCATCAAATAAATGAGTCATGAATTTTTTTTATTTGTGAAGAAGCCCCATGCAGATCTCACATTAAATTTGATGATAATTATCCCCTCCTATTCTGATATGTAGATGATGAACAAACTTTTTCAGAGGGTAATTTGAGGCAAACAAATGAGTGTATAGATAATGAACTTGGCACACATGGTCCTAGATAAATGCTTCAGTTAATGGTTCGTCTCATGGTACAAGAGATGCTCCTAACCACATACTCAACCCTCCCTCTTACCCATGCCTGAAAAAAGTGAATGGAGACTGTTAAATTTCAAACTCTCAAGTAAACTTGTCAAACGGATATATTTGGATATGTTCGAATTTAAATTTGTGTCAAATTCAATTTTAAGATTTCCGACCCCACCAACCAACTAATTGCATTTGCACAATCCACGTCCTATTTAATTAGAAATCGAAAATATAGTTTAATTAATCAATCAATCACTCTCAATTTGACTTGAATTTCAATAAATAATATAGCTTATAGTCCACTCAATTGTGTCATAAATTAAGATAAGTTTATATAATTTTGACTAAATCGCTATTGATGTGATTGGTAATCAAACTTGACGAGATATAATAAAATAGTTACGAATTCAAATTCTAATAATTGGTTAAAAATACAAATCCATGTTTGATTAATTAGATTCAGTTCATTTTTAAACCAATATCCCATTGATTACCTAATGTCATGCCAAGAATTGTCTTTTTTTAATGATAAAGGGTATTCTAGCTAATTTATGTATATTTTATTTAAGTTCTTTCTTGATATGTTTTCGATATGGTCAAAGATAAATCATTCATGTTGGGACTAGGTATTCACCAGAGATAAATCTTTAATAGCATGACCCCAAAAGATTAACAAGATTCAAATTTAAGACGTCCCAAATATCACTTAAAGCTATCCATTGTTCACGCCAAGAATTGTCTACCTAGTGGCCACACAGTCCTTAGGATAAAGAGGGGATAATGAAAGTATAGTGGGGTAGTATTGCTGTGGTCGTTTACTGAAGGAAAGAAAAAGAAAATGCCACCGGAGCTCCTCCATGCTCACCAGAGCCACCACCACTACCACCTGCCACCACCACCACCACCACCACGAGTCCTCTCTGGGTTTCATTTTACATCCAACAATCAGACTGTAACGGTGGTCGGCCTCAAGAATGGACTGAGTAGTTTCAGGCGGCCAACGGAGCCGCCGCTGAGATGTAAAAGGTGGAGAACATCAACTGCTTTTCCCAGGCGGAGACTCTGCTCAATTTCAGCCTCATTTGCACCACTGGATTTAACAGAGGATAACGTCAATAGGGTCTTGGCTGATGCTCGAGTCGAGGCAAGTTTGTTACTCCATGCACTGCATCAGCAAATTAAGTCTAAATATAGGCCATTAAAAAATAAAGAAGTTGTCACATAGTCAAAAGTGTTTGTAAAGTGTTCGATAAATGTGAATTTTGGACTGTAGAAACTGTGCAGCCCGATGAATGATCAAATAAGAAAGAAAATCAAAAGAATAAACTATCCACTATTTTCAACATGAATTTTCATCATATGATGTGTTTTTAAGCTATACGTGTCTAGTCTAAAACGAACAATATATTACTTGCGAATTCAAACAATGTGGTGTTGACTCGCACCACATTAGCTACCACCATCTCAAGTCATTGTCCCTTTGGATCAGGGTACATGAAGGGATGTCTAACTTATGTGACTCCAAGGTGTAGGTTGCAGTGATCCAATTCCACATTTCTTGATGGTGTGTGTGGGTGAATTGTGTACTAAGTGTAAGCTTTGAACCTTGTACAATACAAAGGTGTTTTGAAGTCGTGCGAATCCATTTCAAGTATACATTGTGCAATGTGAGTTTGAAACGATCCATGTACAATATGTCTAATACTCCCATTGCATATAAATGCATAAATATCAGTTTGAATCCTCTCTGGTTGAAGAATAATCTTCCGTTTGTATGCATAAATTTCCTTGGCTGATTGAAATCCTTTGTCTAAATGCAGTTGGGGCAACTCTTCGATACTTCAATTGGCATGACAGGTGACTTCTTAAGGTACATAATATGGTTCCTCTTTCTTTTGTGAATCTGTAATGTTTTACAAAGGCAAAGAAACAATTGTAGGAGTAGCAGAACTTGCTGAATTGGATGGACCCTATGTCAAGATTAGCTTAAAAGGCAGGTTTTGGCACAAACGTTCGGATGTTTTAGCCAGACTTGGTAATTACCTGAAGCAGAAGATTCCTGTAAGTCCATCAAATTTTTTTTTTTTGATTTACAGTTAGTACTCCCCAAACCCTGCAATGACGGAAGACTCGTGCACCAAGTATGCCTTTTACTTACCTTGATTTTCATCCAGGAAATTTTGGAGGTAGAGATAGAAGATGAGAGGCAACTGGATGACAGCCCTGAAAACTTTTGAAGTACTCTGTTCTACTGCATTGTAAAAATGGTCGTACCCACTGCATACGACAAGTGGCAACGTGCTTTTCCCTCATTTTGCTGGTGTCAGACTTAAAGCGATAATAAGTGTTCTTCCATCTAAACAATACATTGTAGGTTTATGCCCGAGAATCACAGTAGATTTCATATCAAATAGCATGGTTGCTTGGCATCTAGACATACCACTCTCCTTTTGAATGCTTTTTGGTGGATAGTTGATGGATAAATTACATCCAATCAATACATCCCAAGTTCGAGATGTGGTTGTCACACTGATTTGTGCCATAATATTGCATTATTGAGCTATGAATTTCATACATAACATGATTTGACCAGTTATATGTTGAACATTGTACTCATTTTGCATGGTTACTCTCTCTCTCAATGCAGTAATGGAAAGCATGGAAAAATCCAATTATCTCAACCTGAAGCCTCATCTGGATCAGAGTCAGCAAGACCAATATAGCACTATTTACAAAAATGACTTCCAATTTGGAAAAAAGACTTCCATCAACCTAAGCAACCTGTTTCTGATGAGTTTGTTCAATTTACAACAGCAGCATCACTATGCTGCTTTAGTTAGATAAGAATCCTTATTGTCATGAAAATTCAAGTGTTCCCATGAACAGGGAAATATTCAAATTATTTTCCACACGTTATAAAGAAGTACCATGCATGTTCTGTTTAAGGGTATTCCAAAGTGATAGACATTTCAACAGCTAGTTTGAATAAGATATTGTCGCGATGAATGAGGAATATGGAAATGCTGACTAAGCATATGTTTTACTTGTGGGAAAAAGGGCACCAGATCTCAGAAAACAAGATTGTTATGTTCAACTGACATCATTCAGCAGTCAGGACAAGATTATGATCAAATCCTGACACAGCTTGCAAAACTTCTGAACCTTCCAAATATTCAATCAACATTGGCTCAGTTTCATCAGTTGAGCTGCCTAACCCAAGCCTGCCATTTCTACCGCAGCCCCAAACCCAAACCTCTCTCTTCGATGTGAGAGACAGGGAATGTGTGCGCCCTCCTGACACTGAAATAGGTATTTCCCCTGTTAGCCCCTCAACCACCAACGGCTGGTCCTCCGGCCCTTCCCTACCAAGCTGTGAATTCAGGTTCCATCCCCATGAAACAATGCTTGGTCTATCTCCTCTGACCTCCGATGAAGGAATCTGGCATATTGCCAAAGAATGACCGAGGCCTGATGCCACCGAGGTTGGACAAAAGCTTGTGTCAACTGGCACCAATCCCAAATTGTGTAATTTTCTGCCCAACTGTCCATATACATTGCTCCCACCGCTTAAAAGGGTGCCATCTCCTGAAATAAGAACATTAGATGTTATATGAGTATAATACGCATTCACATCACACTCATCTCTATGATGATTGCAACTGCTTACGGCATAGAACTAAGGAATGGTCAAGCCCACACGCAATATCAATGACTTCAACATCACGTAGTTCTTCAATTAAACAGGGTTCCCAGATAATCGGCATGTCTTTCTCCTGCTCAATCGCTTTCAATACCATCTTTTCAGCAACTTCTAGCATTGCACTAGGGATTTGTTCTGCAGGCTTCAAAATCTCAGAACTTGAATCCAGTGGAGAGGACTCTAAATCTTTTCCCATCTTTCCTATTCTACCATCTGCATAATAACCCCAGCCAAACAACTTTCCATCTTTAGTCAGCGCAAGAGCATGTCCCCAACCAAGTGACACCTGCCAGATAATATCAACACAATAAAATTACCTATGTGCTACGAAAAATGACTTGAAACACCACTCTAGTTTTCTTTAACTTAAGATAGATATGTCAGCTTTTACATCAGCTAGTAAAATGTATTAAGTTAATCCTTTTCTACCTTAAGCATGATATGGGGACCACCTTAACTATCTCTTCTCCAGCAAGTGCTTCAATCTTGGCAGGTAAAACGGCCTCAGTGATGCCTTTTCCAAGACCAAGCTGCCCTCGCTTAGACTTTCCCCATACCCATAACGAGCTGTCTTCTCCAATGGCTGTAGAGATGACACCAGATGCAAATGTAGCTTGAACTCTTACTTGATTTAACCCTTCTACTTTCTTTGGCTCAATCCATGTTTCTCTGCAACGAAGCCAGCAAAAAGAATGCTTTCCATGTAAGATTGATAGGCTTTATGCCCGAGAATAAAACATAATCATACATACAGCCATTACATTTTTTAGCATCTGGGGATCTACCACCAAATACACGCAACACTAAACAAGATGAATGCATTCCCATTCAAGAACCAGAACAACGAAATTGATTGGGTAATAGCGACGAAGTATATGAAACTTAACTTAGTATGGAATTTGATATATACACTATAATAGTAAAAGATATACAATGCACCGATAAGAAAGTATAATTGCATTTTCGGGTATCAATGAAATGTTCCTATTGAATGTTACCTTTGTCGAATAAAAATTGAAGGAAGAAGCAAGACAGAAAGGGAGAGGGGGAGTGGGGGAGTGGGAACAAGGAATTTTTTTTTTTTTATAAACATGAACTAGTTACGAGTAAAAAAAGTTCATTACACGCCAAAGTGGCCCTGCTTACATAGGTTGCTGGGTAGAGTATCAATTCGATACAGATTTAATTTGGCCCTGCAAATTGACTGCTCTCATACTCAGTGTTATGAAAAGCGCGCCTAGGCGAGAAGCGAGGCGAGGCGAGACTTGCTCGCCTGGAGGAACCCAGGCGAAGCGAACGTGAGCGAGGCGAGAAAAAAGCGAGAAAAAGCGAAAAAGCGATCGCTTTTGTTATGCGAGGCGAAATATTTTATTTTTAATTTAGACCGTAGGATTGGGCGATTGCAAAAAAAATTTTAAGATGTTAATGTACCGAATTATTCCCTTATCCTATAAATAAAACTCCTAACCTAATTTTGTTTATTTTTTCTCAGATAGCTTCAATCGGTGCTTCAATCGGTGCTGCCTCTCCACTGCTACACGATCGATCGGTGCTGCTCTCCACTGCTTCGATCGATGCTGCTTCGATCAGTGCTGCTCTCCACTGCTACACGATCGATCGGTGCTCCTCTCCACTGCTACACGACCGATTTGGTGCTGCTCTCCATTGCTGCTCTCCACTGCTACACGATCGGTACTGTTCTCCAGTGCTACACTCCAAGGCTTCGAGTTTTCGCTACTTGTACACCATTGTTGTTGCTGGACTGAGGGTTTGGAGGGCTGGTCTGGACTGTGGAGATTAGTCTCTTCTTCTTCTCTCTTCAATTTTTTTTTCTTCTGTCTTCTGCTCCTTCACCGATTCTGGTTTTTTTTTTTTTTTTTTTTCTTGATCTGATTCTACCCTATCCTGCTCTGATTCTACCCTATTTTGCTCCGATTGTGCTTCTTTTTTTTTTTCATTATGCGTCTGTTTTTTTTTTTTTTTTTTTGCTTTTTCCTTATGTTGCTGTCCAAACTCCATTCTAAGGAGTTGCTGGAATGCTATTATTCGTAGTTGTACGTATGTTACATACCGATATGTACCTAGTTTTGTTATTGTTGCTAGATAAACAAGACTTATTGTAATGCAGCTATTTGGTTGGTAACACCTCTCTTCAATGGATAGCTCTGTGGCACTGGAATTTTTTTTTAAATCAGAAGGTAACACCAAGGTTTACAAGATCGACGACTGGACTCACAGATGAGGAAGACATAATTTCAGATGAGGCAGAGGAGGAGGATACTGAGGGATATGAATCTAAGGATAATGAAGAAGATGATTTCTTTAGTGATGAGGATTGATTTCTAAGTCCTTGAGATATTTTCTTTAGTTGCTTGAATTATGTGTCTTATGTTTTTAAATATTAGGATTTGGGATATTATTAGTATTTGTATGAATTTAAATGTTTAAACTATGACTGTTATTAAGATTTGCAATATTATTAGTATTTATTTTAATTTAAATGTTTATGGTTTTACTTGTATTTAAATATTTAGTATATATAAAATTAAAACTTTGATGTGTATAAGTAATTACACTAAAATATTTATTTATTTTTTTAACTGCTCGCTTCGCTTTGGTAAATCGTTTCGCTTCGCTTCTCGCTTCTCGCTTCTCGCCTAGGCGTTAAGAGCCTTGGTCGCTTCGGTTCGCTTAACGCCTTAAATAACACAGCTCATACTCAATCCTTCTTTTTCCCCAGTTCAAGCACAACTTAAACAGTGGCCACAAAGTCGGAGCAGTATTATACTTCTTAATCAAATTCCAAAGGAGAAAAACCTCAGCATTTCAACAAGGCAGATTAAGAACCTCACTCTGCTTAATGCCCTTTTGTAGACAAGTAGAAGGTTATGAGCTGGGACCTACAAATGTACAAATTGTGCTTTCTATGTTATGCATATTGGTCATCCTGAGGGGCTGGAAAGCACAAATTTCCAACTTTCTCCAAAACTGGGACCTTGTCGAAGGTTCGACTCGTGAGGGACGGTATGTGCACTGTTTGTTTGCAGTGTGTATGTCTTCTTCCAAAAGGTCTGTTGTGGATTGGAACAGTGCTGTCCATCGGCTGTGTTGTATTGGGTACACGTAGTCTGTCATATATAATCTTGTATAACCAGGCTCTTGTTTCGTACCGAATTCGTGAGGTATATATGCTTTGTTTAGCAGATTTCTGTGGCCTTTAATTATATTTAAGTCGACACATTTATTGGACGGGTGGGTCAGCCCTAATGGAACGGAATGCCATCTTCCGCAGTGCGTACAGGAAGGTAATACACAAATATAAAGAGACAATTTTACAATCACAAAACAAAATTTACCACCAAATCCATCAAACTAATCTCTAGAAATAATACAACAAAAAATCGAGAAACAGAAAAAGAGGCAGAGAACGAGCAAACCTTGGAGAAAGAGGGCCACGGCCGAGTTGGGCTTCATGGTTACGACCCCAAGCCCATACTTCTCCCTGAGAAGTAACGGCGAGAGAATGATAGTGACCGGCGGCGACGCTAGAAACGTCCGGTGGAAGACCAGGGATAGGAGTGGGTTCGTAGGCGTGGGAGCCCATGCCAATGAGGGAGGGAGGTAGGCCCAGAGCCCCATGGCTTCCATCCCCAAAGCTCATGACCTTGTTGTTCTTGCCATTGCCACTGCTAATCCATCTTCGGCTCAGTCCGACGATGAGATCAAGTAGAGGTTTCTCTTCCTTTCTGAGAAATCGGAGCATTATTTATTGTAGACTGACCAGCCGATCACTCTGTCTCGACGAAGAAGATGACACGAAGATGATTTATAGCTCACACAGCAAAAGCTGACCCGACCCAGTTGGTTGGCCATGGCTGTTTTGTGTTGTTATGGGTAAATATTAATAGTTGGTATTTAAATCTTTTCTTCGGTTTTAATTTGACAATTAAAATTAATTATTTTAATTTAATTTTTAACTATTAATTTATCTCAATTAAATCTTTTTGTCCATTTTTATAATTAAATCAAAATAAAAACATATAATTTAACGCTTAAAATTTAATCAAATTGTATAATAATTAAGAGATTAAATTTTATTATTAATATAAAACAACAATAATTTAGTAAATAAGTTTTAAAATGTCCTATTTCAGTAAAAAAAAAAAAAGTTGCAGAAGAACAGTAAATTGGTAAAGGGTTAAAAAAACTCAAATGTAAATTGCATGTATTGGAAAACATACACATAAGCGGGTAACAGTAAAAACCACACTATAATAATTTTGTTTATGAAGAAACTCGACTATTATTCCCTCACCAAAAATACAATAAATTGAAGCGTCAAAATCGTCGGTCATTCGCTAAATAGGTAGAGAGCAAAAGTCCTGAATTCTGCAGCGACGTCCCTAAAAGTCTGCTCTCCCCGTTGGGGATTTCCCATTGACAAGGGGCACAATTACGCAAATTAAGCAGCTTGAGCCAAAGATTCAGAGGCACTGGATGCTTCAAGCCTGCAAGGGGGCAACAATGCAATGCATAGTGATGAGCATAAAATCAAATAGTCCTGATGATAATTTGAGAAAAATATTAACAGAGATTCAAAAACACAGTGATTAAAACCAGGTGTCGTATAGGAAAGATAAACATACTGGAGCTGAAGCCATTAAGGATATGTGTTAATAACGAATCAACTAAAAGAAACCAACATGCACCCATTGCGCGACGACATTTGCTAATCTTAAAATGGTTGAGCTATGAACATCTTAATACATATGATTTTCTTGTCAGATGCATGGCCGATGCAGAGGAAAGTAAATTGTAGATGGATGTGGACATCCTGGACCGTTGTGGAGGAAAAGTCAATTACTGACCGAGCGAGAATTTTGCTCTAGAATCTAGAGAGAGAATACTCCCTCACCAAAATATCCTTCCCCAGAAAGTGTAGCCCCAAAAAGTTGGTAAGTCAACCACCATATTGGACAGCCCTGGCCAAAGTAACCCAATTGAAACCCTACAGAAATATTGAGAAGCTTTTTGAGAAGCAATGAAGCTCTCACAACCATCTCAAGGAAATCGACCTAATGGAACTTAAATCTGACATGGAGTGCTATAAAGGATGGCATTCCCAGCTGCACTTGAGCAAGAGATTTGTACAATTGAGGAATATAGAAAGAATTGGGTGGTGGGGAAGATGAAATGAAGAGAAACCCACCGGAGAATTTCTCTATCTAAACCTTGAGGAGAGAAGCTCCTCCCCCACGCACTAGCAGCCCCCTTTAACAACATCTCATATGATTTGAGAAGATCCAAAAATGCATTAGGAAAATGATATGCCATTAAAGCTGGCAATTGTAAAGGAGTTAGGAAGAAAAATGAATCAATAGCACCAACTAGGGGCATGGTGAGATGGGGCTTGGGCAACTACTACAATTTTGGCAAATCAGTGTACTACACTGTTTCACTCTGCCGTTATACATCAGAACAAAATGCAGTCCAACCATAACATGTTTTCCTGCAATCTACCATGTAGGACCTATGAGATCACCCCAAGGAATAGAACCCTCTGTTCAATAAGTGGAAGGCATCAGCTGTCTGCTCTTAGTTAGGGCAGTAAGGGTAAGACAAGGGCAATCACTCAACTTAAAACCAGCGTTCTTAAGACCTACTGTATGCCATCTTGCATTGCTCACCCCTATTTGAAAAACTTTTATCATTACAAACATTGGCAAGGCATTCTGTGGCTAGAATATGACATTAGTATTCCAGTTGACCAAACCAAGCCTTAGAGTAGAGCTTGGCAGTAGCAATCAGCACAACCCAACCTAAAAAAGCCAGAAACCTAGACATCTGCCCAAGGGACAATGAAGAACTCTTCCTCCTTTTAAGTAGACTATGGAGGAACACCGTCCTTCAAGGTGCATGTGCTGGTCTCCTGCAGCTAAAAACAAGGTTCCAAAAATTCAAGCCAATCGCCAGCCCCTCTAACACTGTCTGCCTTGCTTGCACCAAGCATGTCCTAATCAGATCATTCTGAGCCAACAACTTGATTTCCATTGGCAAAACCAACAGCCCTTTTTTGTACATGCGGGCCGGGGGGGGTGTGTTTATGGGTTGGCTCGAACTCAGACTTCCTGTTTCTTTATCATCATCAAGCAAGCCCTAGAGCAAGTGTACTACCGCGTAAGCCTCAAGGTGCATACAACTCCTGTTTCTGACTAAAGCTGTGCAGCATGGAGTCATGGACACTTATGAAGAGAAGTGCAGTTCATATTGAGGATTTGTTCTGCATATGCCAAACTTCCAGCACAGTCAAACACTTACCACACTCCTAAAACATTGAACTTATTCAAACAAGTGTTTGCACTCATTCAAAGCATCAGCTCATAAGTCACAGCAAATAAAGCACATAATGGGCACACAAGGGCTTAAATGTTTATGCGCGCAGTCACCCATGAAACATTTGAAGGGGGTTAAAAATATTTACCCACACCCTTCCATCACTAATAGAACAACCTATGTTACATGGCTCAAATTTTTGCTCACACACTCAGCCATCAAACATTTGGAGATTAAAAATATTTACAGACACACAGTAAGCCAACATATGTCAAATCACTAATAAGCCAGCATACGTACCCCGCAAAGAAGGTAATCAGTAAATAATATGCACTAAGAAACAAATTCCTACCATATTCACCAAAAGAGAAAAACAGAAGTTCGAAGGAAAAGGGCACAAGCAGTGAGCTAGTTAAAAAGGATTCGTTCCCTATCAAACTACATACTCGGAATCCAACTATAAGAAGTTCTTGTAAAAAAAGATGGTGCACCAAGAAGTTTCACACTTCATAAGGCACAAAAAAATAGATTCCCAAAACAAGGAATTAAGGTGCCACCATTTGAAGTACCAGAGAACCACATTTTTCAGTACAGGAGATGAGGTAAAGATGTTTGAATATTGAGTATACAACTGTGTTACAAAAGTTCAGTGTTTACCTCTGAAGTCCTTCTCCAACTTCCACTCTCAGAAAGCTTCCAATTTTCACAGGTGTGCCAACTTCCTCGGATAGATTCTTCAACAAAGTCTGCAGAAATTTATGTAGGATATCAATCCCCTCCTTCACTATCTTACTCATATATGCACATATCCATACAGATTGGTTGATTGACCATGCATGCGTCATACATATCTGCACATGCATTATGGGATCTAGCACCACAGGGGCATAAGGGCCAACAAAACTGGCAAGTGAAAACATTTAGAAAATACTCCACCATTAGCCAAAGGACTAGATCTTAAAAGTTGAGTGCTCATGACATCTGATGCATGAAGTTCTTTATTGTTCAAATGTCAAGTTTTTATATAACTACGGTATGAGCTAATTAAGGTGTGAGCCTAATGAAAAATAATTCTAACAAATTGTCAATCACCAAATAAACCACCATGTAGAAGTACATACCAGCAAGGTCAATCAACATTTAAAGTCCGATGTGGCTGATTCATGAGATTAATTAAGTAGTCAAGTGTTTTCAAGTATCATAAATATTTTGAGATATAATGATATACTTCTAACACAGTTCCCAACCCCTTTTTATTCCACAAATATTAGACAGTGTGTGTGTGTGTGAGAGAGAGAGAGAGAGAGAGAGATAAACAAACAATACTTAACATCTAACAATATGGGTCACCTTCATACCTTCACATTCACAGTGTCATTCACAACAAACTTTTGCTCCATTAGAACTACTTCCTCAAAGTACTTTCGCAAACGACCTTCTACCATCTTCTCTATGGCGACCTGAGGCTTCCCTGTAGTTTCTGCCTGAGGAACAAAAACTAATGAATAAAAATCAAGTGAACACTATTAATATAAGGTACTTAGATACATAATTTCATCTCTCTGTGCAATAGAGAGAAGATGCTAAGACCAACACAATCATCAACCAATCTCTAAACAATCACGATGATTAGAAAATTTAATTCAAAGTTAGGCTAATGAAAAATTTAAAAATTCCAGACATTAGTTTCACGGATTAATGCAAGAATGCATCAACTACCTCAAAGGTCATAAGCTTTAGGGATATAAATTGGCGTGAAAAACCCAAATCTCGCCTTTCCAGCCCGAAACCCATTTTAACAGAACCACTTACTAAACAATTCAATTAACTTTAAATACAAGCCAGATGAAAGTAAACATGACTTCACAAAGTACCTGAGACTTAAGAATCTCACGTTCATTCTCTATTGCATCTAAAGACACAAGGTCCTTTGACAGAAATAACGGCTTTGCTGCCACAACATGCATTGCCAATTCTGATCCAACATGCTGGAGAGCATCCAATGAAGCATTTTTATCTTCTACTTCGAGGGATAAAATACCAGCAATACGTCCCAGGCCTGAAATAACAAAAACACAACTAAGAGGCGTTTGATGATTCAAGATGCTATATTAAGAACGTGTTCCAAATGTATTAAATAAAATGTTTCCAACAAACACACCTGTATAAATGCATATGTCTGAGAGAATATGATGTGTGATCTAAGAGGCCCCCACAAAAAATTGGAATAAAAAAGAGGTGCAGACATGCATACACAAATGGAGATAATGCCATCTTCTCCATATACATGAAAAGCATTTTAAATGCATTACCTGATTTGGGGCTTGTATGGAGATACGTGGACATGACACCATTTGCACATGTGGACACTGTGAAACCCCTTCTGAGCTTGACATTTTCTCCCATCATTGCAGCCACTTCTGTAATCGCATTTTGCACAGTTGTTTCTCCCCTTAATTTTGGATGTTCAAGATTCATCTTCAAATTCTGAAAAAGAAACAGAAATCAATAAATTATTGGAACTCATAGTTTCAATTAAAGCTTCGGCAAATAAAAAGTTCAGACATCTTTTCAATAAGCAGATTTAGTGATCGATGGGTAAAGAATTTTAAAAACCCCGACAGATTGAGGGGAAGGAAAGACAGAGACATAAAAAGCTATAATTTTATTCAAGGTGAAAGTTCTAGTTCATGATTTGAGTCTGAAACTTGACTGAATAAATTCAAATAGTCCACATGGAACATGAAGCAAAAAAAAGAAAAGAAAAGAAAAATTGCAATAAAAATGAAAAGGAAGTAAGAATAAAAGCAAAAAATCAAGCTTCAATTCCAAAATATAGTTAGCTTTTAGAAGGATATAGAAGACAAATTTCTGAGATCTCTCACCTCAAAATACTCGGGTCCAACAGGAAAGGCTCCAGAAGAACTCTGTTGAGAGCTTTCAACCGCCAAAGTTAATTTTGCCAGAGACAAGGCCTGCAAGAAAAATATTTAATGACTTGTAAGGAGAAATCATGAAACAAACGAGCAAAAGAGCTTGGCACAAAGTGAGAATAGTAACAACCACGGGGTTATACAAACATCATCAGGACATATGCCAGATTTTGAAATCAATTACATATATTTGTGTGCATATCTGTCCACACTACTTGAAGTTTTCGCATTTTAAATTTCCATAAAACATATGTGTAGGTGTTTATCGATGTGAAAGAGAAATCTTCGCGAATTCATGCCACCCAATTTTACATAGAAATAAAGAGCGAAAAGAATAACCTCCTACTAACCAAATACTGAAATATATCATTTCTGGCCACAAAATCTGTTTCACAATTAAGTTCAACAACAGCAGCCTTGTTCTCATTCTGCACCAAGGCCAGTAAACCCTCAGCAGCAGCACGTGACGACTTCTTTGATGCAAGAACCACCCCTCTTTTCCTCAGGTCCTTTTGTGCAGCATCTGTATTTAGCAAATCAAAGAACAGTAAAACAAATTTCTTTCCCCAAAAAAGGAAAGAGGGTGAGAGAAGGAATGAAGAAATAACAGCCACACTAACCAATATCCCAATTGCAATCAATAAGAGCAGACTTTACATCTTTTATGGGGGCACTCGTTCTCTCTCTCAACTGCTTTATAAGATTCATCTGTTCCGAAACAGAAGCTTCACCCGAGTAGCTTCTAACAGCATTGCCATAACTACAAGTGAATGAACTTGAGCTTGAGCTTTTATTTTCCCCAAGTTGATAAATTGAACTTCCTCTGCACACCCAAGTAGCATAACCATACCCAGAATGCACAGAAGGACTAGGCTTCAACCTCAGCCTCTTACACAGAACCTCAATAGGACGTTTCGCACACTGAGAGAACACCATTTCGATATATTCTAAGGGTAAAATGCTTCACCTAAAACAATTAACACAATCCACACACATTAATTTGCGATTTTGATGCAAATACCCAACCATATGGATTCAAAACATTAGGTTTAATCGCCACAACGATATAGATACATGTATAAACAAGTATGAACGAAAATATGAACAACGCAAGGATGAATAAAGGGAATTTTCGACAGAGGGCTTGCTGACCCGATTCGTGATGCGTGTAACGGAGAGGATCGGAGTAGGAAGGCCTCTTCTTCTATTGGTGCAAAACCCCTAATAAGCCCTGTTCTGACTTAATTTTATGTCTACCGTGACAGAGAGAGTTGGGGACTGAGTGTAAAACCCCTAATAAGCCCCTGAACAATTTATCTATACAAAGTGATTAGCAAAAAAATCTTTGAGGCATGCGGTTGATTTAATAATCACAGTTAAATTTGAGGTTTCAAGTTTAAACTTCGGTTTTTTTTAATAATAGAGAAATTTTATAAACAAAACCCGATGATGCCCCGACTAGACAATGTCTTCTCACCTTCAATCATATTTAAAAAAAATTTTTATCTTAAGTATATTTTGATTCAATTTTAAATCCTTAAAGTATTGTTCCATAAGTTTATGAATGACTATTTTTACCATAAAGGTAGTATAATTTATGAATGACTATTTTTACCATAAGTTTACATTATAATCATCTATTCAAATAAGATTTAGTTAGAACAGATCAAGGATAAAATTATTATTTTTTTTTCTCTCAATTTTAAATAATGGTAACCGTTTAGAAAATAACAATATCAAGTTATATCCCCAATTCTTGTAAATAGTAGTAATGTATTTCACAACAACACATGGTTTGTTTGTTTGTTTGTTTGTTTTTTTTGTCTCTTCACACAATATGTGTGATGCACCCAAAAAAGAAAAACCACTTTTTTTGGGTACATTAATGTCATTTAAAAATAGGGCGGGTCATACATTATACAATAAAACAAATTTAAAATTCTCTTTTATTTCCTTAATTCTTAGTTTTTTTTTTACATTACACTCTCAATTTCATAAAATCATTACAATGTGGCTCTCACAGTAATTTTTGTCATAATTTGTTATGTGGCCCCCCTCAATAAATACAGTTAAATATTGATAATAACAACAAAAGTAAGTGTGAGAATTACATTTCAAACATTTTATGACATCGAGGGTATAATCTGAAAAAAAAATAATCATTAGGATTGAAAATTAAAAATTATAAAATTTTTGAGGGTGAAATGTGAAAAAAATAATCATTAGGGTGGCGAATTAAAAATTTAAAAGTAGTCAAGATTTAGTGAGGGAATAGAATGTAAATTCTATAACTTATGGCCATGTACCATTGGCCCAATTTGAAGGGAAAATTACACTCAAATAACTTGACGGTTGAGATTTGTACATGCGTAACACTTAGACCTCTGTCGTCAATGTTCGATAGTATATCCATTAGTAAATCATACTAAAAACTCATAAATTTGTAAGTATGTAACACTTAGAGCTCTAAAGTTTGAAATATTCCCCTTATTAGTTATAGAATTAACATAATATGTTAAACAACTAAATTATTTCAATTAAAGATAGAAGATATTATGTCCAATACAGTTTGACCCCTTGTTTAATTTTTTAATTTTATTCTAATAGACTGTATAATTATTTGCAAACGAGTGTTGAATTGAGTTCTTAAATATATTTATACTAATTACTATTTTTTCCTCAAAAAATTAGAATTTCGTTTGAATTTTATGTCAATGGATGATATAATGAAACATGCAAATGTGTTGATAAAACTTATTTTATATGTTCATACTTGATGATAAAAAAAATTGACCCAATATAAAAAGTTTGTTTAGTCTAAGTCCAACAAATCATGTCAAGAGTTCTAATTTGAATATGATTTTACATATCATGGATTAATTAAATTTAACCGCACAAATAACATCAAATCAATATATAAAGATAAGGATTAACTAGATTTTCAATCATTATTTTTATACAATTCAAATTGTTGAAACTTTTATAAATAAAGCTCCATTGATGCTCTAGGTATGCCACCATACCCGACCAAGGCAAGGTGGCTGCCAAGACCCCCGAGTTTTAAAGGAACTCCAAAATCTTTAACCCTTAGACCTATTTATTTATTTTGAGTATTAGATAAGACCCAAATTTTTAGAATTCTAAATTTGAAGAACTCAAATCAATGTCTAGCTTTGTTAAATCAAAAGCTACTCTGCATTTGGTTAAGTCCAATAAAATCCTTAAAATAGGAACTCTAGTATGAATATAAAAACTTAATTTATGCCGCAAAAAAACTCTAGCTCACACCCCCTCTTTCTCAACGAAATTTAAAAAATTAAAACCAACACTTTAATTGAAATAGTAAACTGCATAAAAAGACTAAATTATTTTTTAAATACAAGCTTTCCTTAAATTGATAAAATCTTATTTAAGATTAACTATGTCATAATAAAAATTAAAAAAATTAACTATATTATTTATTGACAAAACTTAAATATAAGAATTTGACCAATATTTTTATATCTCAAAATGCAAGGAAAGTAATATTTAAATAAATACAAATTAAATCATGATAATTATATATATATATATATATATATATATATATATATATATATATATTAATACACGAAAAATATTAATAAGGCCTTGTGTGAAGTTTTTGCCTAAGGCCCCCATTGACGTTGGGTCGCCCTTTTATGTCATTCTTAACTTCTAAACGCAGTTCATACATTTGACTCATTTATTAACTTGGACATTAAAGAGTCGACTCCCGAACACCCCTTTGATCTCCGACTTCTTTTTTAGACGATCGAAGCCCAACAAATTAATGTGAAGGTTAGTTTTTTAATTATGATTTTTTTTAAAAAAAATTAATTTTTATTATTGATTTTATTTCGATAAATGAACATGAATTTTGGTTGTAAAATTTAAAATATTTGATATTTGATTTTTAATTGAAGTATTTTAAGTCTAAATGTAATATTTTAAAGTTGAGGTATCTAAATATTACATGCTTTAAATTTCAAGAGTCTAAATATAATTTATTAACTGATATACAAATTTTAAGAGGTCTAAGTTATTAAGTGATAAATCTCAAGGGATGTGAATGTAATTTTTTCATTTAAAAAACAGAGAAAAATTTGTAACTCATTGACACAATGTCACGTTAAGTTTAACCACCACCTCCCCTCTCTCTAAGATCTGAATCTTACTCGACTCACACGAAATAGGCCTAGTGGGATACTTTCCACTTGCAAATAGCGATCCAAAGAGTTCTCTGCAATCTTCTCCAGATCTTCACACGTCCTTTCTTCCATTTTCATCAACCCTAATCAATCCCGATCTAACATCAAATCAATTCAAGTCGAAGACCATTCAGAGATCCGCCACAGGTGCGTCCTTCAATCATTGTCTCTCTTCTTCTCTTTTCGTATACAAATGTGTGTCCATATATCTATGCAGGATTGATGTATGACTTAGAATGTTGTGTGCATGGTTGAATAATTTGGTTTGCTGCTTTGCTCTGTGATGTTTCGTTTTTTTTCCGAACCAGAGATTTGCCGTTGTGGCGCTTGGAAATTGCGATGGTTGCGGTTTTCGACGTTTGTCGGTGGCTTAGGGTTTCTTTTTTGAATTAATATGTTTCTTGGGAATAATAAGAGTTCAATGCATGGATCCAATGCTGGTAGTTCTTATAGAGTCATTTATGAATGTGATATTTAAATAGCAGCTTGAGCTTATAGCTACTTTGATCTGTAATTTGAGTGTTGAAAACAGTCATTTTCATGAACAAATGCTTAAATAGAAAGAAACTAGATATCTATTTATGCACGTATGTACATGTATTCGGGGAATGTGTGTGCGATCAAAGTTTTTTTTTTCGTGTTTGTGTAGGAGGGTATGTCCATGTACCTATTAACTGAAGTTGGGAAACACTGGGTTATATACTGACATTTCAAATTCGTCCTTTGTAGATTTGATTGTGAGTAAATCAGTGATTGTGAACTAGATCGAATCACTGTCTGAAGGATCTGCTGTGCTTTCACTGACTGTGTTCCTTACTATCAATGGCTTTGTCTTCGATCTCAAAAAGGAGATTCTTGGCCGCTTTCTTTTATGTGGTTCTCTTTTCACATGTCTGTTCTGGGTTTTATCTGCCGGGAAGCTACATGCATACATACTCAACTGGTGGAGAAATATATGCCAAAGTCAATTCATTGACCTCTATTGAAACGGAGCTTCCCTTCGGCTATTACAGTCTTCCCTACTGCAAACCTAGTGGGGGAATTAAGAAAAGTGCCGAGAATCTCGGAGAACTTCTTATGGGTGACCAGATTGACAACTCTCCTTATCGTTTCCGGATGAATAAAAACGAGTCTCTCTACCTTTGCACTACACATCCATTAAATAAGCATGAGGTAAAGCTCTTAAAACAGAGAACCCGTGATCTGTATCAAGTGAATATGATTCTGGATAACTTGCCTGCCATGAGGTTCGCCAACCAAAACGGGGTTAAAATTCAGTGGACTGGGTTTCCAATTGGGTATGCACCACCTAATAGTAATGATGATTATATTATCAACCACCTCAAGTTCAGGGTTTTGATTCACGAATACGAAGGGGCTGGTCTTGAGATAATTGGTACTGGGGAAGAAGATATGGGTGTAATTTCAGAAGCTGATAAGAAAAAGGCTTCTGGGTATGAGATTGTTGGTTTTGTGGTTGTCCCTTGCAGTATTAAGTATGACCCTGAAAAAATGATAAAACTCCATATGTATGACAACACTACGTCTGTTAACTGTCCACAGGAGCTTGACAAATCTCAAATAATTAGGGAGCAAGAGAGAATATCATTTACTTACGAGGTTGAATTTGTGAAGAGTAACATTAGATGGCCATCTCGATGGGATGCTTATTTGAAAATGGAAGGTTCTCGTGTCCACTGGTTCTCAATCCTCAACTCTCTTATGGTGATCTTTTTCTTAGCTGGTATCGTTTTTGTCATCTTCTTAAGGACGGTGAGAAGGGACTTGACAAGGTATGAGGAATTGGACAAAGAAGCTCAGGCACAGATGAATGAGGAGCTTTCCGGGTGGAAGCTTGTTGTTGGTGATGTGTTCAGAGAACCTAATCACTCGAATCTACTTTGTGTGATGGTCGGAGATGGGGTCCAGATTACAGGGATGGCGGTTGTCACTATTGTATTTGCTGCCCTTGGTTTCATGTCACCAGCTTCGCGAGGTATGCTGTTGACAGGGATGATAATTCTTTATCTTTTCCTGGGAATTGCTGCTGGTTACGTTGGTGTACGTCTGTGGAAAACTATCAAGGGAACCTCAGAAGGGTGGAGGTCGGTTTCTTGGTCAATTGCGTGCTTCTTCCCTGGAATCGTCTTCCTAATTTTCACTGTGTTGAATTTCATTCTTTGGGGCAGCAACAGTACTGGTGCTCTTCCCATTTCCTTGTATTTTGTTCTCTTGTCACTCTGGTTCTGCATCTCAGTGCCTCTCACCCTCTTGGGAGGATTCTTAGGGACAAAAGCTGAGGATATCCAGTACCCTGTTCGAACTAACCAGATTCCTAGGGAGATTCCTGCCCGAAAATATCCCTCTTGGTTGCTTGTTCTTGGCGCCGGAACTCTTCCGTTTGGAACTCTCTTTATTGAACTTTTCTTCATCCTTTCCAGCATCTGGCTCGGAAGGTTCTACTATGTGTTTGGTTTCCTGCTTGTTGTCCTTCTATTGTTGGTTATTGTTTGTGCCGAAGTTTCTGTGGTCCTTACATACATGCATCTTTGTGTCGAGGATTGGATGTGGTGGTGGAAAGCATTTTACGCCTCAGGTTCTGTTGCCCTATACGTGTTCTTGTATTCCATCAACTACTTGGTTTTTGACCTTCAGAGTTTGAGTGGACCAGTGTCAGCTACTCTTTACCTTGGCTACTCACTGGTCATGGCAGTTGCGATTATGTTGTCTACCGGCACCATTGGCTTCCTTACTTCCTTCTACTTTGTCCATTACCTTTTCTCATCGGTGAAGATGGATTGAAAAGTTCGTTTGGCAATTCTCATTGACTACTTGTGGAGACTCTGGTGCAAAAACAGAGGTAGTTTTTGCAGTCCAACAGTTTCAGTTTGCCAATTTCCTTAGTTACACGGCCATGTTGAGCCACATCGACAGCCTATCAGATCATTTGGTGATTTCATTTAATGCCTGTTATGTTTCTTCTTGAGGTTAGGGAATTTCATAGTATTGAGGGTTTGATTTATGCATCTCCCCGACTCTGACCTGGAATTTTTTTTTTCTTTCTTTTATTTTGTCCTTTCCACTCGTTCTTGCATTGGAGAACTAGGAACTAGTTAGCTGTAATGGATCAAACTTCATTACCTTGTACTCTTTTATCATTGAATAGAAAGGAAGATTAAATGGTCAGTTTTTTTCATCCTTTTTTGCTTTCTGCTGCTCCTATTGTTTTCGCTATAAAATTGTCATTGAATATAAAATTCGATCCCACTTCAACGTTGCTAGCTGGATCGAACAACTCCGAATGAGACATCCACCAGTTGAACTCGGGGCAGATCCATATTTTGTCTCTGTGATATGTTATTTGCAACTCCCATTGTACATGGCCACATGTACTAGAGCAATTTTACTGCTAAGATTCCGTTTGATTAGCAAGAAAAAAATGATGAAAAATAAAAGAGATAGAAAGTGGAAGAAAATATATTTTCGTGCATGCAATTAGTTAGCATGAAAAACTTCTAACAAAATTTTAAAATAATTTCATTCAATTGTTTGAAATAAATGAAAGTTACAAGAAATTTTTCCTAATTGTCTAAATTATCCTTAATTATTTTAACTTGATCAAAAGAAGAAAAAATATTTTTTATTATTCAAATTTTAAGAAAATTGGCTCCTAATCTAATTCAGAGATAAGAATGGACTCAAACCCTGATCTCTAGACCAAATTGTATGATTAATTTAATTTGTACAAAATTTGTTAAAATTAATAACTAATTGAATATTTTATCCCAACCCATAAAAATTCTATTTTTTTCTTAAAAAAAGAAAAACCAAAGGGCGAAGTACTAAAAAAGCGAAAGCATTATCACTATACGCAATGAAGTAGTGGCTAGCACACTAAACTTAAATCATTCACTTGGAAAATGTGGAGCCTTTTTTTCTCGATCGTCTCTCTGGATTGGCTCCAAGTTGTTCGAAAATAATGGTATTGAGTTTTTCAAACCGTTGACTTAAGATTAGTTAGCGGTAGAGTGTTCACATTAACGTGGTGGAAGTCATTAGTTTGAAAAACATCCCTTTTATTCCTTTCCTTCATGCTTAGGCCTCAAGTGTTTGTTTTTGAATCAATTGGCATATGTTGGTTTAGTGGTCATATATATTGTTTTAGTGGTCAAACAAATAGCGAGGTGTAAATCTGTCAGTCTTCGGTTCGATTCGAGTATTTAACAGAGCATTAAACCAATAAAAGAAAAGAGAATCAGCTGGTGAATATTCATGCATAATAAAACGAAACTTTATCCACATAATCTGATAGCAGGATTTGTTCTCCAATGTGATGCAAGGAGGAAACACCAAACATACCATGTTCTCAAACTAGGGTTTCCCTCCAGGGTGGTGATACCCTTAGGGAGTTTTTCCGGCCACCACATCCTCGTCTTCATTGCTCATCTCATTGTAATCAAGATCCAGAAATGTGGCTGCAGGGTCCTCTAAATTCCCAAATTTCATATAACAACCACCAAGTTCCGGGAAGTCGTCGGTAACCCAACTTTTTGAATGCCCTAGAGAATTCAGGTAGTCTTCAACTGAAGTATGAGCAATAGCCTGAAAATCATCAGTTTCTTCTTCCCCACCAACATGAACTTTAATCGACTCGCTTTCGAGATCAGTTGGGAATGGTGGCAGTGAATGCTTTGTTCCTGGTGCACCTTCATTATCAGCAATTGTATTGCTTGAATTCTCCATGGCCACTCCTTTGCATTTCTGTTTCGAAGCCTGGTGCATCTCTGTACAGTTCTCAGTCTGGCATGAAGGATAAGTAAATATGCTCAAAATTCATGCCATACTCAGTTGACTCAATGGCCTATCTACTTATTCTAGTCTCATATATTCATTATTTATAGTAGTTCCAAGCCGGTGACAAGGGAGTGCAGAATAAAGATTGATTTCTAAAGTGACGATTTTTTGAAAGTAGAGTCTAGTCTCACGATGACAGATGATTCAGATTTCTAAAGAAATAGTCTAATTCAACAGGATAGGATTACAATATGGCAAGAAATTACCTCTCATTGTCCTTCCCATATTCTGAAAGTCCCATCTAAGATCATGGTCTATTGCAAGATTAAAAACCCAGGGGAACAACCCTATAGTGAGGTGCTGGGATAATTTTTCCACTATTGATTTCTTACTATTCCTTGTCAAGTGGCTGTTATTTTTGCTCACCATATATTCTTAGCAAAATAGCCACCACTTCATAGAAGACCCATTTTTTGCTCTATTTTTTAACCATTTTTTTTCTTTTTTATTTTTTAACCATTTGACTATCAGCTGAATGCCTCTTCAATTTCCCAGAACATGATGGGGAGCTGTATTTAATCATAGCTATGATCCCAATGATTATATCTGAAGTCTATAATGACAACCAGTGTGGGTCTTTCCAAGGCAGAATGCCTTTGTGCCGGTACAACATATTGTGTTCTTCCTCGAAAAAACTCATTTCTAACACCTTCCATGTTCTCTTTCACACCCAACCACTTATAGACATTAACCCACTCACACTTTAACATCCAGTGATTCAAAACACATTAATCGTAAGGTTTTCAGATTACCCACCATAAGCTTTTCTTTGCTAGAGTTCTGTCGAAGTCTTCGGGTGATTAAACCTTAAACTTTTGAACTCCAACCTTACCCAAACAACCCATTTATCACCCCAAGTGCTTAAGCCTAGCTAGTATTCTTGAAACCAAACAAAAAAAAGGTTGGTCCAATGTGAGTTTAATCACTATAGAGTTTGACGAGGGTTAGATGTACACAGCCTTACAATAACTACGGAAAGACTGTTTCCCGCTAGGCTAAGGTTCACCTTCCCTCCAAGTTCAAAGATATTCAGCTGATATGTATTTGCCTAATCATGTGCTTAGATGAATTTGGAAGCACTAAGATCAGTAACTTGGGCCCATGTTAATAGAAACTCAAAACAAAAGCTGTAGAATCTCAGTAGAATTTACCTCAACTTGCAGTTGCAGATGTAGTTTTTCATTTTCCACTTGGGATTTCAATGGTTCCAATCCCCTTTCACAATACAAAGGTTTGAAAACATCAGCATAACCATAGTACTTATACTAGGCAAGTAGAGTACAATTTGTTTGTCTTACTTATTCACATGGGATGGCATAGAGCTTGAAGCTCCTCCATTTCCAAATTGCACTGCATCTGAGGTTGGTCTTTTAGGGTGCCCTAGAAGAAGAAGTTCAAACACCACTAAATTTCAATTCATGAATTCTATATATATACCGAAAATATATATAAACTTATTTTTCCTCCTCAATGTATAGTAGTCCCATTTTCTTAAAAATGCAGCATAGGAGCATTAAATTTTCAGTATATCAAAATTACACAGCTCTGATCAGTCAAATTAATAGTTGACACCTGAAAAAAGTGGTGAATATTGAGAATCATCAAGTCCTTGAAGTAAGAAAATCGTAACAACTTGTACAATATGAAATTTTATGTGGAAAGCATATGTTGAAATATCTTCCGCCCCCTTCTGTCTCTCTCTCTCTCTCTCTCTCTCCCTCCCCACCTCCCACCCATGCAACTTTTTTACCTGAAAACTCCATGTTTTTACATTTAAAACTGCTTATAAACAACAGTTAGATGTAAACATCACAAATAACAGAAGGGAAATAAAAGATTATCATAGTTGGCAAATTTAATAAACCTTATTCTTAGTGACAAAATTAGGATTGTGCATCTTGGGAGATAGTATAAATTTAACTCCATACATTAATACATTACTCACGAACAGAAACTCCTGGCTCTTCAAGAAAATTAACATTACAATTCATAGATTTCAACAACACTTCCTAGGTTTCTATTGGTTACCAAATTTAAATAATTTCACTTCCATAGTTACTTTTCTGGTTTCTGTGAAGTGATTTCTTACCTTTCTCTCCACCACTAAATATTACCACAAGGGTTCTTCACTGTTTTATTGTTGGGTGACATAATCAGAAGCCTTTTAATAATATTATTATTTGGTTTCATATTGGTTAAAAAGAGTTAAAAATTGAAGGATTAAAAGTTCAAAAAACTATTATTTTCTAAATCAAGTAGAAACTACAATCAATATTGCAAAACGAAAACAAGAATGAAGTGAAGAAGGATCAATAAGATACATACTATTATTTCTGCGTGCACGCCACAGCCTTCCTACAGGCCTTCCCATCCTGAATTTCTGAAATAATGGAAGAAATTAAACATCAAGAACAAATTGTGAATGAGTAAGTTTCATTTTCACTTTGAGCTCGTAAATGCATATTGGCAACCATAATTATAATTCGAGTGCACATAATCATAACAAACAAACCTGTAAATGACTCTTTAAATGGTAAAGAGTCAGTCCCCTCATGTTCATTAAGCTCAATAGGGCTTTTGGAGTAGCCTCTGCACATACCATACTCAGTGTGGGAAAGCATTTTTTGGTGGTAGGCAAAAGCGCGAAATAATTGGAATTTATGGAGAGGAAAGCTTTACTAAATACATTACCACAAAACCCTAAAATGTATAAGACTAAGGCTTGAACATTTAGTAAGCATAACATTGATGTGCAATTAGAAGGAGAAAACACAAGATAGACAGAAAAGATCAGAAGATTTACTAATGTTCTGGCACATCAAAAAGAGAAGAACAAAAAAAGAAAAAAAGAAAAAGATCAATGTTTCAACATTAACGTAGCCAAATTGAAGGGTGATATGACAGGAAAATCAATATACTTGTGAAAATTATGTTGTAATTATCTCTTAGAAATCGATTCATTGAATTAAAGTAAATTGTCTGTGGCTCAAATTTCTCGCGTCATATGCACTTGCAACTTGCTATACTTTTCGCCTCTATTTCCTTTAAATCATAAACCATATGTGGTTTCTCAAATGTACTATGTTTATCAAAGCTAGTGGTTGATGCACGCCAAATAGAGATACTGAGGAAAGATAACCCCAAGTCACTTGCGTGCATGGAAACAAAATTGAAAGGGTTTGGAAACAAGAAGTAATGCGCACACACAATGCTTTGTGGCATCAATGCCATGAAAACTATACAACACTCAAAATTAATTTTTGAATAATACGCCAAATTCAGAGCAAAATAGGCGATATAAACCGACAAAGCAGAAATCGACAATTTTGCTAGAATACAAAAGTTGGACTATTTATGCTGAAACACCAATCCCATAAACAAAAAATCATAAATTCTAATGAAAAAGGAGAATTTTTGGCAATCACTGCCACATTAAGAAACGACAAAATTATTTTAACATTATCGAATCAAGTATGCAATAGTACGCAAAACTCATAATAGAAAATGCTCGTTACAATGTAGACTAGCCGACAGAGCATAAAATCTACAATTTTGCTGGAGTATGGAAGTTGGAACCATATGAATACGCTCCAACGATCCAAAAAAAGAAGAAGAAGCATTAATTAAATTGAAAAAAAAAAAACAGAATTTAAGTCATCCAACCCGACAAAAAATTGGTTGTCATCAAGAGACTAAAAACATTCCTAATTGTGGTTTAATAGATTTATTTATTTGGAACACATCAAATGTTAAGAGGGATTGAAATTTGCTATAAAATAACCTAAGACAACAATGTGTACTGTTAAAACCATCAAGGAGAAAACAATTTTGAAAATAAGAGGGTGCCAAAATAAGAAGAATGTGTTCCATTCCAAATAGAGAAGGTGAGAATTGATTCCTTTTTTTTTTGGTATTTTCCTATTAACTCAGACAAAATCATGGTTGCATTAATAACTGAAATTGAATTAAAAAAAACATGAAACATTAATTAGAAGTATTGATAAAAGCAAAAGCATGCCCATAGATAACATAAGAGGAAGTTAAGAATAGTATTGTTTTACTTTTAAAATAAGTACATGGTTGATTATCCTTCTATCTAGGAGCAAAAAACAATATTATCAGTAAATCAAAAGAAAACAGTGGTATCCATACAAAGCATGACGATTTTATTGCAAGTACTGGATAAAAAAAATGAATTCTACCTTAATTCAAACTTTCTTTGAAGTCTGTGATTCATTTACAAGGAAATTGTAATATATACCAAAAGTGACAACAGAGAATGATGCTGGTACCAAAACATACTACATAGGTACTCCAAGTGAATCGAAAAATTTATTTGATTCATCTGATTTTCCAAGTGGAAGGACGGTTTCACATGTAACTGTAGAAAATGCAATTGAATTCTATATCTAAATACCAATAAAATTTAGGAGAAAACGAGATTTTTTGTTTAGATTTGAATTTCTTGCATGATTGCTATAGAAAAAAGATAACAAGGTGATTTTGCAGAAACCAGACATACCCTAAACTGCAGAAAAATAACATAAAAGTTATATGAAACATAAAAACACAGATGTAATAATAACTAAAGAGCAAAATCAGTAAATTAACAGAATTAAGAACAAAGGGGTCACTAACTAAATGGTCCACCGAGCTGATTAACAGCCTCAACAAAGCTGGCATGAAGTTCAGGAGTCCAACGAAGGCGAGGTTTGATATCATTAGTCATCTCAACGAAGGGGTGATTAGGCTGTTCTTGAACATAATGATGCTGATGATTAATGGGGACCTGTATGTACCCTTGTTGACCCACCATCATCCCTACATACACCTGAGGCTGGTACTGGTAGGGTAACGGTACATTAATCATCCCTCCCTGCTGATAAACAGCCTGACCTGGGTGGGTTTGATATTGGGTTGTCATCGTTGTGGGAAAGGGATACATCTCTCTCTCTCTCCACTGCTGACACACACTCCCTACACTTACATATCTGCATACAATGCAGTACTCGTAAAAGTGTAAAGAATTAACGGCTCTCTATGTTTCTTTCAGTGAAAGTGCGAGTTTGCACAAGCCGACAAGTTGGAGATAAAACCGAGGAGCGAGAGAGAGAGAGAAGATATTAGGCTTTTGAATAGCTGCGAAGACCTGACCAGGCTCATCACCGAGTAAGAGAATACGTTGTATAAGAAATGGGGGATTAGTATGAGCTGCTTGTAGACTGAAAAAGGACTAAATTGGAGTGCGGTTGGTGTGTTTTGCTGCATGCAGCACTACGTGGAAGATGAAGTTCAGAGACCTTTTGTTGTCACTGACGGGGTTTTTTTTGGCTGTTCTTTGGTTGTATATAAGGTTAAATTTGTGGGTGTTGCTGAGTTGGTTGGCTGTCTTGTGGTTAAACAAGGTTAGAGCAAATTATACTTTATCCCCTCGACTTTGCAAAAACAAACAGATTTCTTCATAAAACACCTCCAACCATGATTTTTATTTCACGGTATAGTACTTCTAAATATGGTTATTAGCGAAGTGTGCAAATGAGGTGGGTTGAGCAGGTTGAGACGTTAACTTAGACGCAACCCAAACTACAAAACCCAAGTCTCAGTTCAATCCGGACTTAGATTCAAACAAAACTCTTCTACCATAGTGTGTATATCTTTCATTCTTAGAATCGGATCAAACTCCAAGTTACACAATTCGAACTGAACATCGAGTTTAATTTGGTATGATTCTCGATTAATAAAGCTTGAATTGAAATTCGAGTTTAATTTGTACTCAATTGGAGTTCAGTTCAAGTTGAATTAGAATTCACTAGATTGAGTTTAATTTATGGGCCCGAGAACCCAAGGTTCTAACCCGAATATTATCAGTACTTAAGTTGATTGCCATTTTTCAAAACAATTTGAAAATCTTCACTCAAGTACTAATCATTTTGATTTACACTGGGTCATGTTCAGATTAATCCGCTAAAGTTAAACTCCTATAACATTATTTCAACATAGACAATTGAAACGTGTGCTTTGTTGTACATGTTGACCTTTTTTTGTCCGAAACACGATGGGAGTTTGGTTTTTTGGTGCAGTGGCAAAGAAATTCAAATAACATAATTGAAGAGAAAATATAAAAAATTGAAAGGTAAAATGAGATGAAAAGCATAATCAAAGGGGTCAAAATATAATTTTGCCCAGAAGGTTAACTGGCAATCAAATCTGTACTTACCAAAAACAAGAATGCCATTAAATTTGTGGATGTTTTCATTATGAAGAGAAATGGGGACCACCATAGGAGGTATCAATTGAGTGTGTCAATGTTGTACCAAAATAAGCTACGAAATTTATGTTCATACACCTTGTAAACTCGATTATCTCCTACGTTGCAAACATTATAAATGCTTCAAGACTTAAACTGAGTGTGGGTTCTTAGAGTAGAGATGGAACTTGGAAGTTTGAAATTAGGAATCACAGTGGATTGGGGCGAGGACAGAGAATAGTCTTCACTCCGTACTTACTTAAAAAAAATTCGTCCACTCTCTAGTCTATCCTTATTAGTGGGATAAGCTTTAATTTTCAACTTCATTCCACGAGTAAATTTAATTAAAAAATTACTATTAAGTATTATTTTTCCTTATAAACATCTATTAAGTCCTATTATTTTTATTTTATATAAATAAAGTCTTAATCTTGATATTTTATCTCAATGAAGTCCTAAATTTTATAAAGACTATTTTTTTTCCCAATTTTATCATTTTCTTGACAAATATTGACATCTATCATTAGTGGTCTTTTATTCATAATGCCCCAACTTCTTGAGTTTTGAATTATGTATTGTCTACTTGATAATTTTATGAAAAATCTAATTCCTAATAATTTTTAGATTTGTCATTATGAGATGCAATAGAGACTTTTGGACCCTAAGTGTTCTTAATAAATAAGAGTTTCACAATAAAAACTCTATTACTTTATGATTTTAGATTCACAATTGAAGTAAATACTAATACCTAAACAAAATGAGAATACATATGCTGTAACTATAGTTTTAATAAAAATTTGATATTATTTATAAAAAAAAAAAATTAACTCATATAAAATGGATGAGTTAAATAAAAGTTGATAAGAGTTTTGGTGACTAAAGGTTAAGGACAAAATTATAATATAATGAAATTAGGACTTAATTGAAATAAGATATTAAAAATAAGGCTTCATTGATATAAAACAAAAATGATAGAACTTAATAATAGATATTTGTAAGAAAAAGTATTATTTATTGATTATTTTCGTAAATTTTGATTCTCGTTCGTTCCTACTTTCACCTCCGCCCCCATTTCCCCCTCTCCCAACCCTTTACAATTAATTTCTATAATTTTAAAAAAAAATGAAAGAAAAAATATAGCAATTAAAATATAAGTTGTATCACTATATGTCTGTATCACATGATATGATCAAAATTTAAAACAAAGAAATAAGTTAACAACATAATTCTTACGTAATTGAGCATAAATAACAACAATAGTAAAGATATATATTTATGTCTTTCTTGGCGTCTTGATTCTCTTGGATAAGTTTCGATCCACCCCATACGAGTTTATATGAGTATTTTCGTGTACGTTTACCGTCTAATACATATAGTCTTATCTCCCGTCCAAACAAGGTTGATTTTAGATGAATTCTCGTTTTACCCTAGTCCATGTCATCTCTATTTGGAATAGTGAGTATCATAAAATCGATTCCTTTAAAAATACATCACAACACTTAGATGAAAATGAGACGTATCTAATTTATTAACATAATTTGCTCACCTAATTTTACTGTTATTGATTTAATGGTAAGTCTCAATATTGTTTAAAACCCGCTATCAATCCATCTTCGTTGTTTGTTAACAGGAAATCAAGTTTAAATGCTATTATTTATGCATATTTTGTCTAAGGGCAAAACAAAATAATTATTTTTTGTAAAGTAAAAAGTGAATTTTCATTAAACCTGCGAAAGTCCGATATGATCCACATTCATACCTTAATTGGATTTCAATGGATTCAAATTTTTCATCTTTGAATCAGGATAGACTCATTGGCTTTGAGGATGGATGATCCGATGGACCTTTTAGGTTTTGAATTCGGGCTTTCCTCTGACCCATAAATAAAAAAAATAAAAAGAAAAAATGTATTTCGGGTTGTTTGAATTATTTAAGGATGGGAAAGACGGAAAATCATATATAGGAAGTGAACGAATTTCAAACTAGCCGTTAACAGTAGGTAACCCCAGCAAAGCCCCAACGCTCTCTTCTTTGTCTCAGTTCTGAAGAACGTCACTGAAACAGCTCTCCTCTCCTTCCCCTTCCACCGACCCATCACTTCTACGCCTTTGCTCTTCAATCCCCCCCTCTCTCTCTCTCTCTCTCGCTCGTTCGGTCTCTGAACAAACGGAGGGTAAAATGTTCACTGAAGGCTTGGATGACAGCGCTATCAACTGGATCAAGCAGGTACTAAGACCTAAACAACTTACCCATTCCCCAGGATTGTTATTTGTTCCTGATAATGCACTTTGGGATGCAAATATATAGTGTTCTTTCGATGATCTTGCACACACACATATATGTTTTCTGTTTTCTTTAGAACAGTTCAATCTTGAATTCAATTTAAAATCTTTACTCGCAGAAGTCGGATCAGGAACAACTCCAAAGTCGATCACCTTTATCAGAGAAGTTGGATTGTGAATACCTATTACCCAAATCTCCTGTTTTGTACAATTCTAGTACTTCCATGTCTTCCCATATTTTGCCTCCCTTGAAATTCCATTCTGGCCTTTTGGGACCTCACAACACAGTCACACTTAGCATAAACAGCGATAAAGATAGCTATGATGATAATGAGGAGACTGAGAGTGTAGCTTCAGCGCCAGATGAGGTTGACGGAAACTACTCTGAGGAAGAAGAGTTGGAGAAGCCAGCTATCAATTGCTATGATGAAGAAATATTTGGTATGAAATCGAGCATGAAATTAAATGGAAGTAGAGGAGATGGACCGAAAGGGAGATATGGGTCCACTTTGAATCGAGGGCTGTTGATGGAAAATCTTCGAATAGATGTGCCTGAAAATGCCAGGACGTTTACAGACACCCAATTCAGTTTTGGGGGAAGTACAACTTCAGGTGGCAGTTATCGGTCGCGTGGAAAGGTTCAGTTTCATAGTGCATATGTAAGAATGAATGTCACATGGTTTCTAGAACATAAAGTGATCATGTATTGTGTTTGTATGTATCTTTGTTGTTTGCTTATAGGGCTTGATGTTGATGGTGAATGCAGGGTACCCCAATTGGCATGTTCAGTGACGCTGCAGATTTGGGAACTCCTAGTGCCCCTCCCATAATGGACATTGGAAGAGGACATATCTCTGAAGCTGACAGTGAATTCAGTACAGATATTGGAGGTTTGACAGGAATCCAGGAAAATACCAATGAAGTAGGCATATCAAAGGAATCAGGAAAGGATTCTTATGGTAGTGAGGAAGTCTTTTCTGATGGGGGAGCACCATCTCCAAAAGCTGAACTAGGTCAAAGGTATCTAATTTTCCAGAAAAAGTCTTTTCTGATTGGAGAGCATTCTCTTTTCTGTTTAATAAATGTTCCTTTAGTTGCAGTCCTCTTAAGATTTTTGAGAATATGCTGACAGTGTGTCTTGTGCTGGGAAAATAGAAAAACAATTGAGGATATGGAAGCACCAGGCCATCATGAGCAAACAAGCTCACCGGATCCATCACCCTATTATGACACCAGGTGTTGTTGATGTTAAACTTATTTCATGTAACTCCTTTTCTTGTTCACTTCTTCAGTTTAGCCAGGGTTTGTGCTCATCTACTGACCATGGCCAACTTTATAGCTGCTAATGACACTGTTGTTTCTCTTATACATCAACCTGTACCATGAATAGATAGGACTGACAAAGATTTAGAGGATACAGTCTTAAACTGGCCTGAATAGGGATATGGATTTCTGCAGTAGAGCCCAAGTAGCCATGGGTTGAGGTTTTGTTGAGTTGTGTTAAATTCTTATGCATCAATTATTTGCTGTAGTTATTAGGCTTCTAGATCCAATTCCAAGGTCTTTTTCTTGGGGGCTCAATGGTTTCCCTCATTGAATGGTCAGTTTTAAATCCAAATAAGGTCGATTGCCATGTTGTTATGCGAAGCACTATCCATAAATATATATGTTTATAATTAAAGTTTATCCACACATACATATAGATGATTTAATTCATATCCCATTTAGAAATCTTAACTTTTTTCTGCAGTGGTCAAAATGCGTGGCAAACTCTGGTTTCTTATGATGCATGCATTCGCCTATGCCTGAATGCATGGGAAAGAAATTGTACAGAGGCCCCTGAGTTTCTACGTGATGAATGCCTGCTTCTCCGAAGTGCTTTTGGGTATGCTACCATATAAACTCATAACTGCACTAAAGATTTTTGAGCTATTTTTCAGCTCTAGTTCTCCTTCTAAAGTCCAAATGGGTTTCTCTTATGTTTCTTTTGCTTTATAGACTACACAAATTTTTGTTGCGACCTCGAGGTAGACAACCAATGGAAAGTGCTAGTAAGAGTACTGAACAAGCATGCCCCTTGAAAGTAAAGAAGGTAGTTGGAAAGATTCGGGTAGAAGGTATGGTCTAAATAAACTGCATTGGCAAATCTAGTTTACTGCTTATTCATACACTTTTATTCCATATTGAAGGATGGACTTGGGAAACCATTTGATTCCAAGAGGCTATCAGTTACTTTTCAGTGAATTCCCTTTACTTAATTATAACCATCTGATTTCCTCATGATTATGTTTATCAGTTTTTTCCAGTTGGTTTCATTTTTAAACATCTGAAAGAAATTTAAGGGTACCATATGTTGTAGATTATAATTAAACTGCTTTTTCAATCGAATTTTTCCTTATGCATTCCTTTAAACAACATTGAACAACTTTTTGTTCAATTTGGTCTTCGTCATCAATTTAATGAATTTTAGTTGTCTTACCTGTTTATACAGTATATTTTAATTCATTTCATTTGGAATTACATCTATTCGACATTTGATAATTATATTGTATTAATTTTTTCCTAAATTGCATTGTGTGTATGTAAGGTAGATTGCATGGAGGAATGGCTGTGGAGATACTTCCACTTCAAATAAATTTTCTGCCACCATCAAATGAAGTTTATGTATCTAAACAGAAAGCATCAGATTGCTTCTTAATTTTTCATTTCTTTTGAACTGCTCTATTTCATTTACATTGTTAGAACCTCATGATACTAATTGTGAGTTGAGTTTTATCGGGTAAAAGTGAAGATTTTTAAAGATAAGGAGTTTTTTTCCTGTAGATACAATGGGGAATTGATAGTTCTGACATATAACATATTCTTGATTATGGCAGTGAGAAAGGTCCGGGTAATACCAAGGCGGAAACTCAAGAACACATACTCACTGCGTGGTGCAATGTATATGCAAGTTGGAGCAGACTATGTCCGACATGTTCAATCACTTGTGAAAAGCGGCATCAATTCTCTTAGACTTGCTTCATTTTCGTTGACATCTGAAGGTTTCTGCTTCTTGACCTAAAAATTTGGAATCTTTTTTCGCTCTTCACAAAAGGAATGCGAAGAATAGTTCACCCCCAACAGGTTTTGGACCTGGTATATTAACTACTAAATTCCAATTTTGTTGTTTGCAGAGCCACTATCATGCTTAATTCACCTGAAAAGTTCTGCAGACGATGCTCAAGACGAATCACGTTCCACCATATCATTGCGGCCAGGATCTGGAGATTATCATGACTTGTAAGTTGCCAACAATTCTTCAGTGTGGATGGTTGGGCGTCTTCAAATTACAGTATGCCCTATGTTGTTGGATAGCTATTAAGAAATCCTACTTTGTTGTGATATTCCGAATTATAAATTACTCAGTATTAGTCAAATGACTGTAGGAGTAATGCGAGAGGTAGAGATAAGCCAAAATTATCTTTAAACGAGATAGTAAAAAAGGATACAATGGTTTATGTTTTAGCATAAAGCATGACCCTTGATAGAGTACAATAAAAAAAAAAAACAAGATTCATGTAGCCGAATTCCAAATAACTGGGATGACTTTCTTGTTTTTTTTTTTTCTTCTAATACTAGCAGTTTGAATTGGTGATTTTCATGTCTTGGATGTTTTTATTTGGGTATTTGACTTAAAATTGTTTATCTGTCCTGATAAAAGGCATTGTGCTGGCATTCTGATCTGTAGTCGACAATCAGATCGTGAGATTTTTTTTGTGGAAGGTAGGCATATCTTTAGGTGTAACATGTTCTCAGTTAACATTAAGAAAACCTTTGTCTGTAATTTCAGCTTTCCAGAAAACCAAGCAGATGCTTTTTTATTTGAAGTTCAAGATACAAGTAAAAAGGTCCACGGTCGAGCTATAATTCCAATCTCATCCACTACTGATAATCCTGTAAGTATCATACCAGAGTTAATAATGAATCTTGAATCACTGTGTTCTTTTTGTACCGGAGATGGGTTTCCTAAAATGATATTTTCCAACTTATGCAGAATGATAGAATTCGGTGGTGGCCTATTTTTCATGATGATCATGAATGTGTTGGGAAGGTCCAGCTCTCAATTGGTTGTACATTTACATGTGATGAGACTACCCATATAAAGGTTTGCTTTTGCCAACTGAATAGTTTTTTTCCTCCTTTTGTTGATTCTTTTTTTTTTGGCCGAACTTAACTCAATTCAACTGTACTGTGCTTCAACTACTGGATGGAATCTTTTCTTTTGCCGGATGTCGAACTTAATCATATTAGGCTGGCTAGGAAAACTTGGAAGGCTTCAACATAGGCTAAAGTGTACAAAAATTAGGGTGCTTCACTTGCATATGGATGCCAGGCTACATATCATAAAAATGTCTAAATCCATAAGTGTTTATCAAGGTGTGGATCGGATTACGATTCCATATTCTTGATTAGCACAGCCTGAAATAATCCCTGCTTAGTTATAGATTTTGTGCATTTGTTAATGAGTGATTATTCAAGATATGTATAGAACAACTGGATGGTTACAAATATCCTGATCCGCAAATACAAATTATTTTTCAAATGTGATAGAGTGGACCCATTGTGGAGACTCTTGCTTATGATTTATTGCTGGAAGCTGCCATGCGTTCACAACATTTTCATGCACGAAATTTACGGTTAAATGGACCTTGGAAGTGGCTCCTGGCTGAATTTGCTGATTACTATGGAGTTTCTGACTCATATACTAAGCTGAGGTACTGAAAGCGTAGTTCTTTTCCAGTTAATTTTCCTCTCTATCTGTCCTCTGCAAAGTTTTTTCTCATTTTTTGATTTTTTTACAGATATCTTTCATATATAATGAATGTTGCTAGTCCTACAAAAGATTGCTTGGAGCTCGTGTATGAGTTGCTTGTACCTGTCATGAAGGCTAGGAGTGAGAAAAGTTTAACAAGACAAGAGGTGGGCTCAGAACACCACTTACACATCTTTTGAATGAGATTTTTGCATTGCTCCTGCTACGACAAGTCAGATAATGGTAGTTCAGGAGTGGGAAGATTGCAACGATTAATAAGCCCTTCATGGGATTTCGCTCCCTTAGTATCTAAGCAATGAGAGCAGATTATGAGAACACCCACTTACACATCTTTTGAATGAGATTTTTGCATTGCTCCTGCTACGACAAGTCAGATAATGGTAGTTTAGGAGTGGGAAGATTGCAACGATTAATAAGCCCTTCATGGGATTTCGCTCCCTTAGTATCTAAGCAATGAGAGCAGATTATGTTCTTTATTGCATTTGTTTGCATTATGATGAGTTTTTATGCCTTGCCTATCTAGTTTGGTGGAAGGCAAGGCATAAACTCATCATAATGCAAACAAACGCAATAAAGAAAATAATTAGGATTGATATAAACTAAAAAAAGGGTAAATTTTTTGTTCACCTAAATTATTAACGTGGTTAGTTTCTAGAACTTCTAGCTTGTGCTTTGGTTTTATGCTGGATGACTTATGTGATTCAAATGCATCACAAATACACACACAACCCAAGTACTTGCATCACAATTACATACACATCCCATATACATGCATCACAATTACATACACATCCCATACACATGCATCACAAATACGTTTATTTGCTAATATGATGGCCAGTCATAGTTTAGTAAAGATTTTAAGTGGGTCTGTTTGGACTATGCACCCCATAACTAGAGGACCTAGAAAGAAATCAACTAATCATGTGTATTTTGTGCCTCTAGAAAATGCTAAGGCTATTGATTTTTTAGATTTACTACTACGGTTGAGGTTAGGTCTCGTGGGAGATATTTAAGCCTAACTTTTGCATATGCTGAAGTAACAATTTTGTACCTAGGGATTGGCTCAAGCTTGATATTGTATGGTTATTGTTATGGCTATTGATTATATCCTTTAAAGAGAAAAGTTTTAAAGAATGGTTATTATACTTTAGGCCTAGGGAAGGGGGACATAAGAACATTTGACATAATCTCTTTGTAGAATTCACACACATGTTGTAGGTAAGTGATAAAAGGCCCAAACCCTAAACCTAGGGGGTGAAGCGAGAAAATAATAACTACATATGGTTCGGAGGCATATGCATGAAAAGTCAATATTTTGAAGGGACCAATTTTGTGTCATTTGTTAATGAAAATTTTCTTTCATGTCAAAACATACGGGGACTAATTTTAAGAAATCTTGAAACATTTCCCAAAAATTAAAAGGCTAAATGAGAAAACTATTTGTAATTTTTACTGTAAAGTTCACACTTGTGAGGAGAAGGAAAAGGACTAAAATCCTCAACCTAGATGCAAAAAGATAAATTCGCAACTATAGAAGTATTACATGGTAAAAATTAATATTTTAAGGGAACCAGCTTTAAGAAATCTTGAAAAACTATACAACAATTAAAAGGCTTAAATGTAATTTTTCAAACTCTTCCCCTCGGGGGGAGGGGGGCCTAGTCCCACCTTAGGACACATGTAGCTATCAATCTCTTTCTCTATAATTATATTATTTTAAAATATAATATAATTTTTAGGGCAAATTCTAGTTTACCCCCTCGTGGTTTGTGCCTTGAGCAAATAACCCCCTATCATTTGGAAATAAGAACATCACCCCCCTGTGGTTATGGACTAAATTGCAACTGTTAGGTTTTCCGTCAAACAGACAGAAGTGGACGTGGACGTGCTGGTTTGACGATTGATCAACAAAGTTATCAGCTTCCCTCCAAAATAAATATACCCAAATGTCAAAAATGACTCTCTTATGCTATATTAACAGATGTTATTCTCCTCGCCCTTTCACAAGCTCATTCTCATGGCTTCCAAACCCAAGCGCCTCCGTCAATGTAATCTCTCTCTCTCTGAGTCGACCTTACAAAGCGCAGCAAAGAAGCCAAGAACAGTGACCAGTGACCACAGAGTCCTCTTCAATAACAATTTCCTAAAGTTTCTTTAGTGGTCGTGGTGTAAAGTGAGAGAAAATCAAAACCCTTGTTTAAGCTTGAAACTTGAATTTCGAGTTTCAGAGGTGAAGAGGGGCCTAATCCATTATTTTTAGGGTCAAAGGATCCATTTTTGAAGTTATATTCGATAAAGAATAAGGTTTGGTGGGTGAAAAATTAAATTAAAAATCGTGATAATTTTTAAAAATGATGAACCTGTTACTTTGGAGCTCGATTTCCACTTATCTTGTGCATGATCTGGACAAACTAAATACATGGTTGAAAAGAGGGTAGCAATAGGTTAAATTTAGGCATTTGAATCGCCCAAAAAAGTTGGGAAACGAGGGAGAAATTAAGGGCTAAAGTTGGCCCAAATGTTGAAAAAAAATCTGGTATGTACATAACCTGTCAAAATGAGTTTGTGATCACATTTGAACTTAAATTCGTGGGTCATGGAGGCTATTTAAGGAAACAAGTCTGTGGGGTTTAAAACTAGGTTGAGAGCGGAGGATATTGACATTGGTTTGAGGAAGTTTGGTGTTTTGTGGAGAGAGATAGAAAAGCTTGTAAAGTTGGGTAATTGATTAATTTTTCAGAAAATTAGGCAACAATTGAAAGGGAGGAAGAAGATGATTAATAGTTAAGGGTACTAAAGTCATTTTATCACTTCTGTTTATGGTGTTAATTGTGCATATCGGTCCAAAAGCATAAGAGGGTGATGTGCTGATTTCCAAAGGGGAGTCATGTGTGCAAAACACCCAAACCACAAGGGGGTAAACTGGAGTTTGCCCTAATTTTTATACAACACCCCTACACGTGGGATGAGCACAAGGTGTGGGACTAGTGGTGAAGCATCCAACTCAAAACCAACTTTCAATGAGTCATTTAAATTAGCTACATACTCGATGCATGCATTTTGTCTGAGAAATCCTTGCAATGTTTGTTTCTATCAGTTTCAGAGATGTATCTGAGGGTATATATTTATTTATTCTACTCTGTTTTCCAAAGCGTTGGGTCGTAAGTTGAGTGCCTATTGGTTCCAAGGGTTTTTATCAGCATCAGTTTGGTAGCAAACATGTAGAAAGTCTACCCTTTAAATATCAGTTGCTTTCTCTAAATCGTCTCCTTTTAGCATACCTATGTGGACTGATATTTATATCTATCTTCATAGCTAATCTTTCTTTAGGAAGACCATGTTGGCAGAAGCGATATGTCCAAGATGAGTGCAGTGAATCCAAAGGATGTTGCAGTGAGTGCCGATGTACAACAAGGACATGCCTCCTCTATAGAACTTTCTATGCTGCATATGAAAAACATTTCAAAATTATTCCCTTGGAGACATCCATGGATCAAATTGATGCCTTTGTAACTAGATACTCAAGGTTTACTTGTATAGGATTGCGAAGTAGCACTTTAACACTTTTCTTGTTTAGTGGTTTTTTGTTGTAGTGCCCATAGTTTTTGTGAAGGTTACGTGAAATGTTTTTGGGTTTCTTGTAGTTTTTCTTGGTTTGTAATCTACTTTGTTCTTTTGCAGAAAAGCATATTGTTGGATTGTGAAACACAAATCGAGAGTCTCTTGGCATGTGTTTTCGAGAACTATAAATCATTAGACGAGAACTCTCCTACAGGTTTATTAGACCTATTGATTCCAATATCGGATGTTGCAGCACCAGCACTAGCTCCTGCTGTGCAAGTATACACTCTTCTTCACGATATACTTGCTCAAGATGCACAGACGATGCTGCGAAACTACTTACAGGTATATTATTACTTTAAGTGCAAATTTGGGTTGGTCGAGATTGCAAGAATGGTATATAATTGGAGATCTGGTTGTTTACTATTTTGATAGCTGACTAATAGGTTGCTTAGTTTTGATTACACTATTGATGTATTCTGGAAATTAGAAGTCTAAACGAAATGGCATTTTCTTTACAGACAGCAGCAACAAAAAGGTGTCGCAAGCACATGATGGAGACTGATGAATTTGTATCAAACAACTCTGAGGGGTTTCTTATGGATTCTGTGACAATTTACACAGCATATTTGAAGATGAAGAACCTCTGCATAAACATAAGCAATGAAATTCAGGCAGATATTAAGATCCACAATCAGCATGTACTCCCAAGGTACCAGAAACTTTGATTCACGGTAAACTTGTTTATGAAATGAACAGGTTGAGATCTCACAATCAACTTTTAAAATGATCTTTGAATACAAGTTGCAATTATATATATGTGAAAACATGGCCATTGGCTTCATTAAGATTATGCAAGAATTAGGCGCTCATTTGGTAAAAGAAAATGAGCAAATATACAAATAATCATTGAACTTTTCTATTCTAGACAACCACTGATAAAGAGTATTATTAACAATTTTGTGAATTCAACATCACAGCTGATAAACAATCAAAATATTAACAATTACTCCATTTTCTGTCAGTTCAATTGACCTGTCCAGCATCACAGCTGCAGTTTATAGCACTGAGTTTTGTAAGAGGCTTAGAGGTTTTCTTTCTGCATGGCCTCCTTCTGGCCCCCAACAACATGTCAATGAACTTTTGATAGCAACTGCTGATTTTGAGAGGCATCTTGAATTATGGAATATCAGGTTTGTGAATTCAACATCATTGACACTATTCAATAAAAAGAATCATAGTTGGATCAAATTCATAATTGTTATAGATATGTTGAAGTTTTCTTTCAGACAAGATGATTATTGTATGCTTCAGTCCATTGCAGGGTGGTGTGGACTCGAGGATCTTATACCACAACTATATAATGGTGTGGGTACAGGATATGCAACTTAACTTACTTGATCTTTGCAAAGCAGAAAAGGTACCTTCTTTTTAAGCGTTGTTATACACTCATTTCCTGTGGTGTCCTTGAGACTGAGAGGCTAAATTTATCGGGCTCTAACTAATCGACGGACTCAATGTCATTATGCAGGTCCCATGGTCCGGAGTAACAACAAATTATTCTACCTCACCATTCGCAGAGGAGATGTATGAAAAAATTAAAGATATGTTAGTTGAGTATGAAGTTGTGATCAATCGATGGCCACAATACACATTGATTTTGGAAAATGTGAGTTCGAATGTTATTCCAAAAGTTTCTTTTTTTTTTCCCCTCGAATACATGTACATAGGTCAATTCTCATATTGATCCTCATTTCCTCATCTACTAAACCTTTTGGATTTGTACTATTCATATTTTAAAAGGCTGTTGCAAATGTGGAAAGAGCAATTGTGAAAGCACTGGAGAAGCAGTACAGTGACACCTTGACTCCTCTGAAAGATAACATTCCAAAGAGGTTGGGCATGCAAGTTCAGAAGTTGGCAAGAAGGCAATCAACTGCACTTTATTCTATTCCTAATCAAGTGAGTACAATGACTCCAATGAAATCTGTCACTAGTCACCAGTTTTATAAAGAGAGTTTGTATCCCAAATCGAATAATTAGAACTACCAAGGATTGGTTTATATGCTTGAGGGGTTACTCCACTCGTTACCAAATGCTTATGAGTTGGACACTCAACATATATCAGAACTGGGACTTGGGTGGTCAGTGGATCAAGTCTTATAGTCTATTACTTGTTTGGATTCAGTTCCTGCCTTCTAAAAAATTCCAGAGAATCTCTGTTTATTTTAGGCTTTCCTAAAAGAACATTCTAGAGTTGTAAAGAGAGCTAAGGAGAAACCTTAAGAAACACTAGAACATTCCTGTACATTGACACTTCAAGTTGTAATATCTCTTGAGCACTATACTTTTTACATTCCCGTGACATCTGATCCATATCCTACTCTAACAAACAATGATGACTAGTACCAAGGAACCATTAACTGAATGTTATTTGACTAAAAATGCATATTGTTTGTTAGGGTATGATAATTTTCTTAGAGAATATTTTGCTAGACAGCAGAATTATTACGAATATTGCCCAGTTGGTTGGTTAAAAAGGTTATAAATTATATTCAGGTGATGATGAGACAAAAAAGTTAACTAGCTTTAATTTTTGGCAGTTGGGGACTTTTCTAAATACTATCAAAAGAATTCTGGATGTTCTACACTGCAGAGTTGAGGACAATTTGAAGTCTTGGGCATCCTATCTACCAGTTAATGGAGACAAGAAGTCAACATTTGGGGAGCACATGAATGGAATCATTGTCTTACTTAGAACTAAATACAAGAACTACATACAAGCAATAATAATTAAGCTTGTTGGCAATGTAAGTACCATCATAATCTAGTTTTCTTTTTATATATCCTTATTTAATGATGTACATGAAGTAGCGTGTCATGATCATGTGGTCAATAATTCTTATGTCACTCCCGTTGTATGTCTAGATAACTGATATCATCAAGGTAAAAACTAAAGTTATGAACTACACTAAGAATTTCCAATTGTAACTTTATAATTTCAACGAATTTTGCAAGCCACACATATCATCAAGGACTTTTATCTTTGAGTATATATATTTTCTATAATGGTGAAAGAAATGTTCCCATTAAACATGTGGGAAATTAGTTCAATAGCATGGAAATACAGAATTGAGAGATGAATCTCTCAAGGCAATATATATTCATGTAACTGATGTTTCAGATGCAAGCTAATCGGAGCACAAGGTTACAAAAGATTTTGGAGGTAACGAAGGAAGCAGATGGAGAGGCTGAAATTCGTGAAAGAATGCAAATGTTGAGTTCACAACTTATTGATTCCATATCCAACTTGCATGAAGTCTTCACAAGTCGAATATTTGTTGCAATCTGTCGTGGATTTTGGGATAGAATGGGACAGGTATAGTGAGAAATGCACTAACTTATATTTTTTAGAACAAAAAATACTCAACTTTCATTTTTTCAAGATTAATATATATATATATATATATATATTTTTTTTTCTGTTTTGCTAGATTGTCTTGAAGTTTTTGGAGGGCAGAAAAGAAAACCGAGTCTGGTACAATGGATCCTATTACGCTCTAGGTGTAAGTATCTTTACAACCTTGTGCAATTACCTATTTGTATTTCTTGCAAGTTTGTGTTGTTCATTACCAAATACATAGTTACTCAAATAGCTTATGCGTCAATATTCTCAATCCTTCGATTCAATTCCTATCAGTCTAGCTTTAAATTTGTTTAACCATGATACATTTTTTCTTTCTTTGTAGATTCTGGATGACACTTTTGCTTCCCAGATGCAGAGATTGCAAGGAAATGCCTTACAAGAGAAAGATCTTGAGCCTCCTCGTTCGATAGCTGAGGGTAGATCCATTCTTTGTCGAGACAATACAAATGCAGTAGATACATCCACCTATTTGTATTTCTAGGATCATATTGTTGCCTCTTACAAATTTTTTAGAACTTCTACATTATTATTAGTTAAGAGTTGCACATTTAAGCATCACTGAACTGTGCGAAACGTTGATGCAAAACTAGATTGTTCTGTCAGCTGATTTCTATTCTTTTGTACGTAATATGTCTATTTTGTTGTATAATTTTTTCTCACTGAATCAATAAAAAGCAATATAATTTTATGAGTTTCCCTACTATTCCTTGATATCCATACACTTTCAGGAAAAAATTGTCCATAACTAAACCAACGTTTCTCTACTATTCCTTGATATCCGTACACTTTCAGGGAAAATTTGTCCATAACTAAACCAACAAGACCCATGGGTTAATGCATACGGGCAATTCCAGTATGACAATTTAGAAGGCAACCTAAATGAAAAGATCACTAAAAAAGCTGTGTTCCCCATGTTCCCGTTAGTCGAGGCTGTTGAGAGGACAGTTGAGAGTGTTAGAGAGGGATAAACCGTGTACAAATCAAATAATTATCCCACATCTTTACCCACTGCAACAATAAAATGGCCTCCTTGGCCCCTAGTCAACATAAAATCAACAAAACAACAAACTCCATTTCCACAAACCAAAAACAGAACATAACTGAAAACCAAACCAAAAAAAAGAAGTTCAGTTCCCTGATAGGGGCATCTCCTCTCTCCATTCCCACTTCTTAGGCTTCATTAGATGTGAACACAGCTCTATCATTTGTTTTTTCTAACTTGTGTGATCTCCTACAGTCTCATGTGGGCAAGACTACACGGATGCAAGTTATGCATGCTATTTCTGACAAGTTAAGCTACAACCTTATGGCCACCTGCCCTACACCCCTACAAGAGTGGACAGTCATTGTGCATCAGATCATTAGAAATCTACAAGAAAAAAGTTAAACATAGAAGATGTAAATCGAGATCTGACCCTATTAAAAAGAATGGCTTGACTGTGCAAATGACAACATGAATAACAAATGCAAACTAAATCGAGAGCTATCATCAACTGGAACACAAAAAAAAATATACATCTGAGGCCATAACAAAGTAGGAAAAAGATTAAGAAAGACTTGCAAAGTCCTGTAACTTAAGTAGCCAGCAAAACTGCATGCACACTTTCCTTTACAGTCAAGTGCATTAAACAGGGCAAAGCCTAAAAGAGTCACAATAGAGGTATCCCTCAGATGGCAAACTTGATAACATCATTCTCAGATCGTCTCATAAATATCACCAATCAAGTCCCTCCCCCTTGTTGGGTTTGCTGAAGGAGAGCTGCTGCCAGCTGCAATGTTGCTAGCAGGCGTTTTTTTGTATCTGCATTCACTTCCTCTTGCGCACCACTACTTGGCGGCTGTTGATTCACCTGAACACCTGTCAGAAGGTCCCGTTGAGGTGCTGTAGGCACATTTGGCTCCTCCTGCTGCTGCTGCTGCTGCATTTGATCAAAATATGAAGACGGAAGCTCAGAAGATACCTGATTATGTGGTAAAGTATATTGCTGTGATGGTCTATATGAGTTTTGAAATTCATGCATAGTGCTTGAAGATGCACCCCCCGATTGCCTTTGTTGCCCAAGAAGAGATGATGTCAACTGTGCAAGTTGTTCTGTATGAAGGGCTCCAACAGGCAAAGATGAAGAAACTGGAGGTTTGGTTTCCTGAAGGGACAGCTTGCCGTTTCCACCTAATGGGACACCTGAGATTTCAGTTGAATAATTAGTTGAACTTGATTGCTGCATAGCGCTATGCATGACTGAGTTAATGGGATCAACAGCACTACTATTGGATGCGTCTGATTTAGTACTTCTGCTGCCAGAGTTCGAGTTCTGTAGATTGTGAGGAGACCAGTTTGGTCCAAGTGTAGGGTTCTGCAGATGGAGCACATATTCATGTCTGTTTTCATTAAATGAGTCGGACATTTTTCCAATAGCATGAGCAGAGCCTGAAACTGAAACAGGTGGAACTGCTGTTGACAAATTCCCCTTAAAAGATGTGCTATTAAGCACGGGTTTCTCGATATTCTGAAAAGCCAGCACTGAGGAATAAGGTCGTGCAGATGATGACGGCTTTGGGTATGATTCATCCCCCTGACAAGATATGGAGTTCGTATCTTTTTTCTCATGTGGAGGATAAAGAGACACAAAATTGGAACCCGGACGTTCCAACCTCAAAATAACACCAGAGATGCTCAGTTTTCCAGGTACCTTCAGTACTTTCTCTGCGAATTCTGAAGGAGGTACAAGAAACAAGGTTGTCTTCTCATACAATTTAACCAACGCTGCTCGCTGGTTTTCCCTCAGATAATCCATGAATTCATTATAAAATTCAATATTAGGGTCATCTGCAGGTACAAAGAATACCACCCAAACACTAGCTGCTTGATAGTAATGTTTTGTAAGAATGTCTAAACTAGTCCTTGCAGTGCAGTCTAAGAATTCAGGCCTGCAGCATTGAAACGGTTTCATAAGAGAGATGATAACACAATTCAAAAGGTTGAATCATGAGAGTGCGTTTGAACGTCTGCAATTGAAACAGCCTACTGAGTGTGCCTTCGATAATGTGTGAAGCATCCAGTTTGTCCTTTTTTGTGTCCCTTCAAACTTGCAAAGCATGTTTTTATAACTGAGTCATTCCAAAAGTGTGTAACTGTGTCCTCGAAACCGTGAATCTTTCACTAACGGTTTCCTTCACCAAATCTTTGAACTGGACAGTAACTACTCACTCCTAAAGTGGAAGATTATTATTTAAAAAGATAAAATTAACAAAAAATAATGCTTTCCTGAGCGCATTAACTATTAAAGGTCAATAGAGATCTTAGGGCCTGTTCGGTTTGCATTTCAAAAAATAGTATCCGAAAACAGTTTTTAAGAATAGTTTTAAAAAAAGATTTTTAAAATTTTTTGATTGCAAGATGTGTTTGGTTATATATTTTTGAAAATAGTTTTAAAAAACAAAAAATTGAAAACCTGTTTGGACAATTATCCACATCCCCCAAATTTCATCTCCATTCACTATCTTTCCCCGTATCTCCATCTCTCTCTTTCTCTTTCTCTTTCTCTCGATTTTCTCCTTTCAATCTCCACCCACATAACACAAATCCACACAACACACAGTCATTCGTCGAAGAAGACGAGACAGACTGCAAACGAGACATTGACGAAAGATCGAAGCAAATCTGAACAACCTAGATCGAACAACTCAGATCTGAAGCTACCCAGATCGATACACAGTCGTTAGAGTTGCTTCTGTAAAACTCGAAAAAATTTAAACTTTTTCAAAAAAAGGGCAAAATGGTAATTTGCTACTATAATGCGTGTATTAAAAATCCATATTTTTCTAGAGCTCGGACGACGAAATGGACTTCACTGTTAGATTCATCTCGCAAAATCTAGTTATCCAGACAAATTCGTCGAATTCTGAGATAATCGGATTTTTCACGTTTTTCAAGGCGACGGTGTTCGGTGACCCCTAAAAACGAAATTTTTATAAAAATTTTGAAAGTTGAAAAATATTTTAAATAAAGTTCATATAAAATTTTTTGAGCTTAAACCGGTACAAAATTTAATCGTTTCGTGGCAAAAACGGACCCGAAAATAGGTCGTGTGGAGCATTATGAGCCAAGGGTTTTGGGACTATAAATAGGTGGAAAAATCTGATTTCCCCACTGATTTTTTCTGCTGGTTTGAACGTTGGGTTGAGAGGAAGCAAAATAGAAGAAAACAAAGATCTTCAAGCTTTCTCTTGACGATTTTCGAAGTTCCATCGGTCGGAATCCTTCGGACCAAGAGTTAAAGTCGATCTCCTCGGCGAGGGCTACACAACCATACCAAAAACGAAGAATTTCACAGAAGATTCAAAAATGAGATTTTGTGGGAAGCTTGAGTTTGAGCTTGGGATTAAGTTCTTGGAGGTTTTCTACATTAATTTTACGCTCCAAGAGGTAGGGTTCCCTCCTACTTTGGTTTATTTCTAACCTATGGTGTCCATAGAGAATGTGTGGGCTGTTTTGTGTATTTTAACACTTGTCTATGGGTAGGCTCAATTCTAGTGTGAATTAGTAATTAGAAATTGCTAGTTTGTGATTTCTTGAAAGTTTTGATAATTGGGTATTTGAAAATCATTTATTCTAATTTCTTTTGAGTTATGTGATAAATTTGGGCATTTTATGTGATTACATGATATGGTGCCTTGAAGTTGTTTGATTAAATGCCTATGTGAAATAAAGTGGGTTATATTGACATATATTTTGTAATAACATGCTTATGTTTGGTTGTTAAATATAAAATGTTGATATATTAACATAGTGACAAAAAGTGATAATTATATATATAATATATAAATTGCCATGACATATGTGAAAATATGTAGTAAAGTGAGTGTGTTTAACTCATAAATCAGTGTGTGTGTTCAACTTCTAGCTTGAACTTGATATGTGAAAATACTTGTGTAATTTATTGGTGATGAAAATTATGTGTGCTTTAATATGTAGTAAAGTGAGTGTGTTTAATTCATAAATCAGTATGTGTGTGTGTGTGTTCAACTTCTAACTTGATTTTGATATGTGGGAATTACTTGTGTAATCCCTTGAAAAATTGGGTTATGTGAGCGTGTTATATGTTTATATCATGACTTGTGATTAAGTGTGATTGACATGAAATTGTGAAATGTCATATTTGAGCCTTGTGTTGAGAATAAATGTTGATACATGCTAGTTGATGTATTGACATGATAATAAATTTTGGTGATTATATGCACGTGATATAAATTACCATAGAACATGTGGACATGTGGTTGAATTGCTCATTTGGCATTTATTGCATTTTGGGCATAAAATTGACATCACATTCATGGGTATGAGGCATGGGTGTGGGTGTTTGTATATGGTTGATCAAACACCATTCTTAGTAGTTGATAAGTGGACTCAGGAAGGTTGGATCAAAGATCTTGTGGAGTCGCATGATTGCACGAAAAACTTGTGTCAGGTATAGCAAGAAGGGTTAGACTCTCCCTTGGGTGCAAGACCCGACTACTTGGTTCTTACACTCCCCTGAGGTGAAATTCCGAAAAAGTGTATTGGTTTGCAGAACCTGCTGTGCGATTCCAAAACTCCGCTATCCAACAAAGACACATGATTTTGTTTATAAAATACCTGGTTCGTACACTACGCTAAGATGAAATTCTAGAAAAGTGTACTTGTTTTATAAAGTATTCATTTGATGGGAAACATCCAACAATGAATTGGTTTTATAAACACAATGACTTGTATTTAAAAAATGATCATTGGATATATTTCATCAATGACAAATGTTTTACACATTTGCATTGTATTGTGTTGTGGGAGTTGGTGAGGACTCGGGTTAAAGTGCACGAGTGAATCTCATCTCATTTCATAACATTACATAAAATTCCTATCATTGGATGTATATTCTTGATTGGAATGTTTGAATTATTGATTGGTTGTATTGTGAACATTTTATATGCATCTAGATTGAGAAGTAACCTCTGTAGGAGATACTCTATTGAGCATAGCTCTTCCTATACGAGAAAATATTTCAGGTGGGGGATACACGTCGTTGGACGGTGCGCATTCAGGGCCCCAGTAACGAAAAAAGGTCGACTTGTGGCTTTTAGTTCTTTTTCTATAAAACTTTTGCAAAGTTAATTTTTGGGCATGTAATGTATATAAAAGAATTATAATTTTGAATTTGTATTAACTATGTTTAATGCATAAATTCATGATGTGGGAGTATGTATTGATATATATTGAACCTCGGATGGGTCATGTGATTAAATGTTGTTATATGAATATGGATAAATGGACCCGGTGTGGTCAATGTTGTATATTACACCTCGGATAAGTCGTGTGATTGTATAGTGCACAGGTTGTATTTTGGGTAGAGCTTTTCGTACAAAGGAGACTCTGCCCAAATTTTTGTTAAATTATGGATATCGGTAAATAGGGCATAATGGTGTGATACCGAGTTACTCGGTATCCACGGGTATTCCGTGGGTTGATAGGTAATCAACGGACTCCCGAATTTTAGGGCGTCACAGCTTCGATTTGCCGGAGTTCCTTCGCTTTGTCGGACTTATTGTAGTCAACTGTGAGAGATATCGAGAGAGAGGCTGAAGGAGTCCATCGGGCTCGAGAAGACGAGTCTCTGTGTTCGTTTTGAAGCACAGTGGAGAGAGAGGAGAGATTGGCAAATCTAAAGCATAGTGAAGATGCCGGAGAAGCACAGTTAAGACGCCAGAGAAGAAGACGCTAGGCAAGGTGGAGGCAGTCAGTGAGGCGGTGGACGAAGCTCAGTGAGGGGGTCGAGGCAGTCTCTCTTTTTTGTCTCCAATGAAATTCGAAGAGGAGACCTCTTTAATTTGGAGATAGATTGTTTTCATTATTTTCATTTTGTCTTAGAAAACAATGAGAACATCATTTTGTTGTTCTCTAAAATCACATCTCATTTCTCAAAATTTTCAAAAAATTGGATAACAAAAAAGCTAAACAAACAGCATCTCCTTGTTTTTAAAATTTTGAGAACAAAAAACAATTATTAAAAACTAAACCAAACACGCCCCTTAGTTTCCATGGACAGACAATAACAGCCGCGAGGGAGTCAAATCAGTGGTAGTCAAAGATGAAAGAGAACATAGAATGGAAAGTCACATTAGAGATATCTAAATCGGTTCGTAAACCGATCTTAAAATGCTCCACAGATTTCCAAAGGACAAGTTCAATACTTACAAATTCATGTCCAGTGCTTTTCCAACAGGGAAGCAGCGAGCACGACAGATAGCAGTTCCCCCCTTTGCTATAGTCCCTTCCCATTTCCATTCTTCACTTAAAGAGGACTGATGTGATTTCGGAGTTGATCTTTTCCAATCAGTGGGGTTTGAAGCCAATGGAAGAGAACCTATCTGAAAACTATCATAAGATGCATTCCAGTGTTCACTCCTCTCCCCAAAAGGCTGGATTAAATTCATTGCATGATCAGGGATCTGCTTATAACCGAAAGGTCCGGGATGAAAGTTCTTCTCAATAGCCTCCGGCTGGGTAAAATCAGGGTACATCCTAGGAAGAACATGTTTCGCTTGTTCTGAATCAGAGAAAGGATAATTTGGAAGCAAATCCTCAGGAGGAAAGGAGCTGGTCTTTAATTTTTTAGCTCCATGAAAGAGCAAGGCGTCTTCTGGCAAGTTATAGGATGGGCCTTGTCGAGGGAATTGCTGAGAATCACGGAAGTGTGGGCCACTGTCTTGTGGACAACTACTGTGATGCTCGTACATATTACCTGGAAGTCCTGGTTCAGAGCCAAGTTCTTGGAACCTCCTCTGTTCAAATGAACCACTTCCCCCTGCCCACAAGTTGTCTTTCCTGTTGAAACTCGTGACATCAGGATCACTGGGATCCATATTACAGATAAAACAAAGAGATATCATGTTGGGATCTCCATTTAAGTTACCAAAGTTCCTATCTTGTCGGAAGTCCTCAGATGATTGCGGATGTGCATATGACCTGAAATGTGGGGAGTGAGGTGCATTAATCAGGTTCCTTCCCCTGTTGGATGTACCTGCTTCCCTCTTTGCAAAACAGATACGTACACGAGGATCGCCAAATAATTTCCCTCGAAGAGTATCTTTAGCCCAGCAGGCTGCCATTACATTTTTGAACTGGATGAACGCATAACTGCCACCGGGAAATACAGTAATGCTCTCAATCTCGCCAAACGGTGAAAAGACCCTTCTTAAAATCAATGCATCCACCTTCAATGAAGCTGGAAATCCAATCCATAATACCTCACTGGGTTCCATATTTTTACCCTTCATCTTGGATTTGTCAGTATGAGAAGGCTCGGGACTAGAGTGATGTGCTCCAAAGTCCCTTCGCAAAAATGGTGATCCTCTTACACTGGAGAGGTGTTCATCTCGCCGTTGCAAGAAGTCTTCCTCTCGTGATGACGTTGATGACTTCTCCTGTGATATAATATCACATCAAGTGTAAAACCATTCTTCACTTTTTTCAGTAGAGGGGAAGGGAAAAATATTAAGGAGGTAATCTAAAATGTTGGTTTACCAACCAGTATTCAATCGAGAATAGCTGATTCGATAGTCTACAGGAGCAGTGCTTCATTGCAAATAACTTGTGCTGGAGGCATCCAACACAAAATAATCAAAAATAGGAAAGAAAATGTTGTAAGTTATGATTTCACACAGAATAAATAAGTAAAACATGTATGCATCTTCAGATTCTCATTTCACACACACACACAAACCTCGCTTTTTGCTACGCCAAATTTTGAAGCATCCCCCAATAGCTACAAAGTTGAAACCTCCCAATGAAGTACTTCGCAGAAGCACCATACTGTCAAAAACTTCAGTCTTTATATCATATTTTCTTTTGAAAATGCTTGCAACTAAAGTTAATTGCAAAAAAAAAAATTCATAATACAACTTACACAGATTCAGACACCTCCCCAAATGAAAGTTCAACGTTTTTAATGTTGAAATTAAAAACTTATTTCTGAAAACGATAAAGCTTGAAAATAAGTATCATGTACCAAAAAACACGTCTGTAAATGGTATTAACTGAAATCGCATGGACCCAATGACAAGAAAACAGAGTTTATGTGGAGATAACAGCAGACTGAAACAACATTTCACAGTAAGCCACTTAAGTAGACAATCTGAGTCAAGTTCTGAAACATTAGTTTGCATTCTTCCTTCCCTCAAAAAGAAGGCATCACTTCCAACGAGTGACATTGCCAACGAAAAAACTCTTTTCTGCCATCAAACTATCATATTTCATTCAGACAAGAATATGACAAAAAACTCTTGTGTATGAATACCAAAAGAAAGAAGTAAATCCCCACATGGTGATGATATAAACATTTTAGCTTGAAGCAACAACAAACAAATACATAACATTGCAAGAGAGGGATTGGGTGGCCCCTTAAATCTCAAGTGAGATTGAAAAATAGAATAGGAAGAAGGAAGACGAAAGCACATATCCAAAACTTGCCCCCCACTATGGTTTTTCGGGATGAATCACGATTTATCTCTGCCGCTGAGCTAACACAGTCTCAAAAGCAATTTACCCTTGACCACAGGCAACAATAATTCCCTAATAAACAATAATTCTTCACAGCAGCAGCTTTAGCATATACTTGTCCAATAATAATTCTTCATAGCAGCAACTTTAGCATAAACTTGTTCACCATTTCCGTAATCCTTCTTCTAATTGACAAATTTTTGTATCTGATAAAAAAAAAAAATGCCCCTAGAACAGTCCTCACCTCCACAATCATTTGCATATCAAAGATTTATTCCTAAGATTACATCCACAACTTAGGAACCCCAGAAAATAAAATCCATGAAAATACACATAATAACGTTTCTATATTGGACCAAGAAAGTTTTAATCCCACTGAACTAACACTTTTAGTGGTGCTGTGTAATGACAATATAATATGTCAAGGGCTTTCATATCACATACTTGTTGCTCCCTCAATCACTAGACCCCAGAAGCCAAGGCCTCTCATGCAACAGGCAGCTCCCAGAGGGAGCTGTGTTATGTTTGGCAGAGAAGCATTTTTTCTAATTGTCTGCTTTCTTACAATTCATCTGGAGAACTTCTGGTATAAACTAATCTTCATAGGGTGTCATGTACTATGGCACTTTTATATATGTCTTGTTGTCACTCTCTTTTCAATGATGAGGATTGATGAAGCAACAATATAAACTTGCAAACAGATCTAAATTATAATATAGTAAATCTTAGTACAGTATACACAAGCAGGCATTCATAGCTGTATCAACGTTTCTAAATGCATTACACTGTCACACACACACACACATGCAAACATACTTACACACATGTATAATGTGTCGAGAGTGAATTGACAAACTTTCACAGGAGAAAAGTGAAATTGAAATGTTCTCATGAATTTCACCAAGCATGCGCTATAGGCCTTGCACCTGGATTAGTGAAAACTATTCCAGCTTCTGTAACGCCATTACAGAAATGTCTAAAAGTCATAAGCCCGTGAAACCCTGCAAAAATAACATGTAGGAAATTGCCAACATGTTTCACAGAAAGTAAAAGGTATCAATGCTATGCAAGCAATGGAACATGCAGTTTCTATCGCTCCTAACAAGGATTCCAATGGTCAATTATTGACATGGAAGCCAATAGGAGTTTAGACTATGTGGGTTGCCCATGGATCAAGTAAGCCATAAAAGATTGCTGTGAAACTAAGTATTGGACTGGAATACTAGGGTCTAGCCAGAAGATCAACTTTAACCTTTGCTATTAGTTTGGCATAAATGGCATGCATCTTTTTCAGATGATGCCATACCAAAAAGTTTTAATAGTCACTCAAAACCCAGGAATGAAATAATTTGCAAAACTGTGGTAGATATGTTCTACAGAGTATTACGTTTCAATGGAAACAGAAGAGTGAAAGAACAACTGAAATGATTGCTGAGAGGCTATTTACTCAAACGGTGAAGAAACTGTGTTTTCTTGCATGACTACATAAGCTTGTTCGGCACCATGCTAACATTGAGGGACATTAATAGAGTGATCTAACAGAAACTATGTAAAAATGCATAAACATTATTGAGTTGATATTGAATCATGAGCTTGAGCATTGCAGAATATGACAAGCAGCTAGCAGCATCCGCCAGCAATGGTGCATACATATAAGTCAATACCTTTAACCATCAAGCAAGTGGTTGCTAAGTTGGCTTTGTTTGATTGTTAAAACTTAACTTTCAGACCATTACCACATGAAAACATAAAAGATAGTGGCTGAAAGATTTTCAGAGAAGTGACGTAATGATCAAGGTTTCAGAGTCATTAAACCTTAATTCTTCTTTAAAGAATGTTGATAAGCATGAGGTTTTGCACGACAAACTGAACCAACCCAGTAGTGAGCACACTTGCAAAGACAATTGTGTTTTTCTCTCGGAACGTGGGTGCAAGAGTGAAATCTTTTGTGCCAATACACACATACGTAGTTGTGCGAACTGCTACTGTGACAGTTATCTCGAAGGGAGGAATAATAAACTTGATAAAAATTTTGATTTTTGGTCTCTGAATTCAAACGGTGTCGAATTCCTCATCCCTTTGGCCCTTTGGTTCATGCAAAGATCATAATTGTACATTTACATCACTCGGTTTTTGGTGACCATGAACCAAAGCATATTGAGTTGCTTGAGCTCAAAGGGGTCTCAAGAAAGGCTATCTTTACTATTATTTTCACTGAATAATGGGATTTCTACCTTCCCTAGATGAGAGCATTCAGATTGCCATCATCAAACCAGCATAGAAAAGTAATAGTATTAATTTGAATGATAGTTTGGAGTCAAGTCCTATACCTGAATCTTTTATTGAAGCGCTTGTTTAAACAACAAATGCTTCAGACTGATTATCCAAATGCATGATCCATATCCTCATAAAACATAATAAAGCCCATTGGTTACAGAGCTACAAATGACTGGCACATGTGCATATATTAAGGATGAGGGTTTTATAAATGCCTAGATCACAGTGGTAGGAATAGGGCTAACATTGTCATACCTAGATGATGGTAGTAGAGACGACACTGGCCCAGACTAGAATGTGACACAATGGAGATTCTATCAGACCACAAAGAAATCAATTCACTTCTAAAACTTAGGATTCAATGGAGCATTTCTGCTACCGATGAGTCAATGAGTGAAGAGTTATTTGGCCCTATACCACTTACTTTCACCACCTCTCCTTGACAGGACACTGAAGCAGTTTCTCATTGTCTACATATGGACATCACATTTTACAAATTATCTTCTACCAACACCTTCTGTCACTTGAGAGCATAGTTGTCATAATTCTTTTTTTTTTTTGGTTATTTTCCACCCAAGGAAGTACTGTTTTCCAAATGGGGCAGTTTTTAAAAATTGCCAATTGAATTGTCCTTCCCTTTTGTAATGTTTTAGAGGATGATCAATGTGAAAGTCTCACAATAGCTATTTATATTTTGTACCACATAGTAACAAAATTATCTGAATCAGGATTCGTACTTCACATAACAGGAAGCACAAGTAAATCTCAATCTGTAGAGTTTAGACCACTCAGGTAGAGTAAAATATGTTGTTATCTATTCCATCACCAACCCTAGGTCCCTAGCTACAGGACTTAGTCATATGTTTCTGACTAGGGTGCATTGCACGTGCAGTGTGCCTGACAAAGATTCCATCGGCCTTCTCTCTTTGGCCTGGTATTTCTTTTTGGCCTGTAGGCGGTTGAAGGTGCATACACATAGTGGAATCAATTTTCGGTTGTTCAACTATATATTGGAAGAGCAATAGAAGTTAGAAGAATATAGTGGCACAATATATAACTAAAGAACGCTATCCATGTCTTTTTAGTCCTAAAAATTCGGGGGATAAAGCAAGTTTGTTAATGCCTGACAAGAAGTCAACCCATATGGTCTCCCATCCTTGAAGAAAATATGGTCCATATGCAATTACATAACTGTTCACCTCAAAATGTGTAAATTTATAACAACTTAAAAATTGACATTCACTTCGATTATGCATTTCATAAGAATAGTAAATCAATTAACAATGCTTTGAAGAGTGTTATTGTCATCTCACAAGGTTGATGAATTCAATGGCTCATAAATGAAAAAAAGATACTTGTATTCGCTCTTGGCAAAGTGGCATGAAATGATGAAATGCTTGAGTAGGTCATGAACATGCGTGGAAGTTGTTTGATCATTGTTTCTCTTAGCATGTAATGGCACAGCAGTGAAATGGTGAATTTATGCAAGCAACAACAAATACAATGAATGGATATAGCACGTGGATCAGCTTGGATATGTTTTTTCATGGTGGTTTATGATTATCTGCAGCCTCATGACTGATGACAATGACTGGTGTTCAACATTTCTTTCGGTTCAGAAAAGTCATACGTGATACATATGCTTTTTATTGTCTAGGCCCCAGGACTAAATGTAATATGGCTAGTTAACATTGTTTTGGATTGGAAAAAAACCCCCACCTGATATGAAGGGGGGATACGAAACCAATTAAAGAGCACTTGAGAAACCATTGTAAGAAAGGAAGTTTAGAAATCAAACAAGCCATGCATGTTTGATCAATCTTGTGATTTTGAAAATTAAACCCAAAGATACTGGAGGACAACCCTGGGAACTAAGTTTCCTGGCCAAAGTTGTCAACTACCACCAATCATCAAAAAAGTTAAATTCCAATAGAACTATCAGCTCCAGGCAGTTGTATTTTTGAACCAGTCTTACCTGTCTAAATGTTAGATTCTAAGCCACCGGAATGCTATTTCTTTGTTAATTCATTCAATTTGAAGGGGAGCTTGCAGTTAATAAACTAACAAAACCGATTAAAGAGCACTTGAGAAACCATTGTAAGAAAGGAAATTTAGAAATCAAACAAGCCATGCATGTTTGATCAATCTTATGATTTTGAAACTTAAACCTAAAGATAATGGAGGAAGACCCTGGGAACCAAGTTTCCTGGCCAAAGTTGTCAACAACCACCGATCATCAAAAAAGTTATGGCCTATTTGGTTTGATTTTTGAAAATAGTTTTTTGTTCTCAAAATTCTAAAAACAAGGGGATGCTGTTTGGTTAGGTTTTTTGTTCTCCAATTTTTTAAAAATTTTAGGAATTGACGTATGATTTTAGTGACCAACAACATGGTATTCTCACTGTTTTCTAAGACAAAATGAAAATATGGGTTGAGGACTCATTCGAGTTTCGTTGGAAGCAAAAAATGGAGACTGTTCAATCTTCTTCTCCACTGCTCTCTCTCTCTCTTCAACTTCTTCTCCCCTGCTCTCAGTGATCTCTCTCTCTCTCAACTACTAAAGCTTCAGATCTAAGTTCAAATCTATGTGCATTTGTGTGTGTGTGTGTGTGTGTGTGTGTGCCTCTGTGTGTGCGCGCGCCTCTGTGTGTGTGTGTGTCTGCGTCTGTGTGTGTGTTTTATGGAGAGAGGGGGGAAGAAAGAAGAAGATGGGAATTGAGGGTTTTGTGGATTATTGTCCAAATCAAATAAATTTTACAATTTTTTATTCTTTAAAACTATTTTTAAAAATATAACTATACAGATTTTGCAATCTAAAATTTTTAAAAACACTTTTTAAAAACTTTTCTCAAAAACTATTTTCTGATACTATTTTTTAAGATGCAAACAAAACAGACCCTTAAATTCCAATAGAACTATTAGCTCTGTGCAGATGTATTTTTGAACCACAGTCTTACATGCCAAAATGTTAGATTCTAAGCCACCTGACTGCTATTTCTTTGTTAATCCATTCAATTTGAAGGGGAGCTTGTAGGTAATAAACTAAAGAACCTTCTCCATGTATCTTTCCATAATTTAATTTTCATATTAATCCAATTGCTTTCACAACCCCATTTGGAAAGCCATCTCAAAATACACAAGACAACCGCTTTCTAAAATATATGATCACTTGTTCAGGCATCACAATCAATAAAGTTATCCAGATTTTGTATTGAACGCATGGCATAGTTAAGACCCTTCAAATCATGTTTGAGCCTATGTTCAAACCAAACCCACCCCCTATTTGACTAAGGCCAAAAAGAATGTCCACTAAGTTCGGATAAGAGAATGTTTCCCCCAACCATTAAAGGAAAGGCTCGACAAAGGGAGGAAGCTGCAGCGGGGGAAGGAAGTAGAATTTCAAAAGAACATCTACTACCAGAAAAATATTCTCCCTGAAAATGGTGTATTAGGTATCAAAAATCTGTATAAAGGCATTCAATTTCTGATGCGCACAGTATTGTAGTATCCAACACTTTCTTACAATAATCCATGAATTGATTTGATTTTCAAAATGATCAAGCTTCCTCAAGTCAACTTTTACAATCTAGAATCACGAAAATTTTCAAGACAGCACAAATGAATTGCACGAAAGGGGTAAGCCAAGTTTATGCCAAATTAATTTCAAAATATTGTAAAAATTCCTCTTTTAGGTGAATCAACCTCATACAGTAACTACATTTATGTTAATCGCCATCCTACTCATTAATCATTAGGTTTCTAACACCCAGTACGGCCTAATTGCTGTGTTGTATCACATCTTTGTAACACAATCGTACAGCTAATAATGCTAATAGAACAATGTTGTTAAGGCCTGCAGAAATACCTTAACACTAGAATATAGAGAAGTGAGGTGGGGGCCAGATCTTGATGGCTTTAATGCAAAAGATCGATTTGGAGAGCCAGATTTCATCAAAAGAATTTGATAAAACCACAAGGCGTGAATAATATCCCGACAATCCAGATCAAGTAACAAGCAACAGAATGGAATGAATCCAGATTAAGTAACAAGCAACAGAATCAAATGATTAGGATCTAAGTTATACAAGAAATCAGAAAAATTCAACTAACAGTACAAAATTCCCAATTCTAAAAGATATCTACAGATTCTACACCAGTTTTAAACAATGACAATGGATAGAAGAAAGGAAGGACTGAAACGGAAAGCAAGCAATTAAGGAAAAGTGAAAAGATAAGAAAAATCTTACTGCTAATACAGAGCAAACCAACCTGACAAAAGCACGAGCATAAACAAAGCTTCTAACTGCCAACCATGAAGAGTATAGGTATGAGAGTCGGTAGAATAGACATGGAAAGTAGAAAGAATATAGAGTAAGAAGGCAGCCACCCTATGGTTTCTTTGGTTGAGACCATCAATCAAGCAAACCTAAGCATTTTATAGTGAAACCCTAGGCAATGCCTAAGATCCTAGCCCTTGATTTCCCTACGCTTAGACATTCTAAACCTATTTGTTTCGAGCCTGCTGTCACTTAAGGTGTCAAGTGACCATTTAAGTATACGTAGATTCTCCCCAAGTAAGAAAATAAAGCAATCTGGCTTGTTCCCCAAAAGAGTATAAGAAAGCCACCAAATAAATCCTCAGGATCTAAGTTGCCACATGTCTCCAATTTATTGCTAGCACAACTTACCTAAGATAATTTTGAAGTCAGATGCAATTACACCACAAACTCATCTACGTAAATAACCTACCAGACCTAATGAGAATTGCATAATGGCACGATCATATTGTTGTAACATCTGTTCTCTCTAGTAATTTTTAAGCAAAGATAGTCCGGATCCCATTAAATTTAGGAGTGTTAATCAAATGAGGTGACAAAATTGGTTTTCAAGAAAGGAATGTAGACCGCACTCCAGCTTAGTTTATCGTAACATGCCACTCCCTTCTATTAGTGGTAGTGGTAGTGGTAAACATGGTGAACAGGCCCACTAAAAACAGGAAAAACAGAGAATGTAGCTCTTTTAGCTTTTTTTTAATAGGAAATCGTGGATATAGACAGTGACTTTTGAGTTTCAAGTATTAAAACATTAGCCATAAGACAATCATCAGTTTAATACTCTACATATGGGAAAAAATGCAAGGACCTACCCTTGGTATTTCAAAACTTATTGTTTCCCTTCCTTGAAATGTGAAAGTAAGTGCAACAGATGGGCCCCACTCATAGTAAGTGTAATAAGGCATGATTATAGAACCTTTTGTTTATGATTGTCAAAGAATAGAGTGTCACCCTCTAGCCATGTGATTAGGATGGATTATCCAATGGTAAATGAAGAATGGAGAGGGACAATTCATCGTGTTAGGATATCTAGAAGATATATTATCATAATTTATTTCCATGTTGAGCTAAAATTTTTCCCTCCACAATTGTCGAAGCCAAGAATGTGAGAATTAGAGGTGACATTCAATCAACAACAAATCTTATCTTTCAGAAATTACCTGGTGATATGCATGTTTCACTTTCCTTTATTCTTGCTCAGGATGTGTTAATATGGAGCTGTTATCGCTTTTATATAACTGATGGGAAGTATTCATATACAAGAAATAACAGCAAGATGGTATTTTAAGGAAGACAGACAAAGGTGGACCACACTAACCACCTTTGTAAACTCAATTCTAAGTGGATTTCCTGCCACAACAAATCCTTGAAGTTCTCTTACAGCAGTAAAGGCCTCTCCTTCATTTTTAAAATTAATGAAAGCATAGCTACAACCAGGTTGGAAAGCTATGCTCTCAAGCTCACCAAACTGTAAAAAGTGATTAGTCAAAGTACTCTTGTTTATGTTGTGACCAAGATTTCCAACCCAGAGGTAACTTGATGGGGGGATGGTTCCCCCCATGACTGTTCTCTTGAGATCCCTGTGAAACCTGTCCCTTCCACCTTTGCCAAACTACAAAAATCAACAGAGACAAAATTGTAATCAGGCGAAACACAATGTAAATGCAAACACCTCACCATAACAAACAAAAAAAAACAAAAACATAAATGTACACAAATGCACATAAGTATACACAAGCAAAATAGGTCAAGCTCTTGCATTGCTGTACACAAAATCAACGGCCTTGTTAATTGCTCCATTCCCTTCTTTCTTTGTACATTTTGAGGGTCAAGGGAGGGAGACAGGATCTCATAAAGGCCCTCAGTCTTACCTCCCACAGTCAAACAGAGATTAGGAACTTAAAACATAGATCATTATGAAATACTGATACATATCGTACAAATTTATAAAGGCTCCTGTTCTTAGTTTGCAAACACTCAAAACAGTCGCATAACCGGATTGGGGATTTGGAACTTAATAGGGTCCCTGTATGATTATTTAAAAACAATCACAGATACACACACTCTCCACCAATGATTGTAATCATTCCAGTGCAGCTGCCCAAAACCAACAAAACAGAAACAGCATAACCCAACCAATTCAATACCAACAGTGAACATGATATCAGAACGTAAACTTGCAATTTTACAAAAATTAAGGGAAGACTGAAGTAGAAGATGAATTTACCATTATCGTCTGACAGGAAATTCAGCGGAGCACCGGATATTCAAACTTGATAAAAGCTAATAAACAAGTAGCTACTCTACCTCACAATACTGAATCCTCGTAACTTTGAGCATGTGTTTGCAAGTATATTTATATAGCATTCGACAAAGCGAAGGCACGAAATAGCAGATTTGCTTCCGGAGATTGAGGATTAGGGTTAGGGTTTGGGTTTGGGTTTGGGTTTGGGAATGAGCAGTACAATCACTAGCAATACCAAGATAGTTGGATGGCAGTCACGTGGCAGCTTGTGAGCAAGGCTTTGCTATAAGTATTATTTTATTTATTTCTTTTCTCCAGAAAAAAGGGAAAAAAAAAAAAAGTTCAGTAACAAATGGGAGTCAATTTCTATGAAATAATGTGACGTATAGGAGTTGCTCCGAAAAATTACACTGCAGTTGTTGTAGGTCATCTTAAATTGATCGAGAAGTCTTGGACGAATGAATTGTCGAGTAGATAGATCAAATTCAGACACAATTATTGTTATGTGGCAATACAGAGTCGACTCATTTCTATCCACCCCGAGCCACCATAGCATGTCAGCAATAAAGAGATTAGATCAAATACTATAATTGTCATCGATTGTTTCAAATTAGATTTAAGTTTAGATAATTGATATTTCATTTAATTAGGGTTCTGGTCAATTTTGGAGAAATTTTTTCCATTCCCTTTTCAGGTAACAATTTACATCATTCCATAGCAAACAATCAAAAAGAATGGAAAAAATAATCCTCCTATTTTCTACTAATTTGATTAGCCCTTGAACAACAGTTAAAAGATCAAACACCTTCCATTGATACTTGCACAAACTTCTCTTCCCACACCAACATTTAGACTGTCTTTATTCCACATTGGATATGATTATGGTTTACAGTTTACACTAGAAGAAAGCCATTGCATTATCTCACATTGCCAGTATCCCAGCAGTACAATGCAGAAAAAAATGATACTCATTAATGACTCTGTTGTTTGGCTGCAATTTCAGACGATATACAAAAACCTCAATGCCTCAGGCTATAAAAATCAGCAGAAGCACTCATGGAAAACCCAATTTTCCTAGCTTAATGCATTGCTTATGAGCCCCTCAAGGGACCCAACAAAGGCTAATATAGTGCACAGCAAGCAGAGAACCCTGAAAACCTGAAGAGCTATCCACAGTCCAGTCCAAGCTCTTATCTTGCTCTGCACAAGGTACATCTCCACAGGGAAATATATGGCCAATGGCCAAAAATTTAAGGCACCCAGCACTCCCAAAACTTGGTTGAAGTAAGGAAAGAGTATGGCGAGTCCTGTCGTGGATGCAACATAAGCAGTTCTAAAGCATAGCCGGAGAAGATTTAACCGCAGAACAGGCAGTAATGGGAGTTTAATGTCATAAGTATTATGAACAAATCCATTATCCGGACGCTTCTTTGATATCCATCTTTCTACTGCAGCAAACAATGGCTGACTGTAAACCTGCCAAATGGAAAGTAAGGCCAATTTTGATTTATTGTTAAAATTGCTGTTCCATTTGGCGAAATAAGTCATGATTGTGAACTAACAACAAAAGTGAAGAGGTTCGTCATAGTTTCATGTATGAATAGTACCTGATATCCACCAACAAGATGAAGAACCACACATGCATTAGCAAAGTCAACAAGCCAGTATGGTTCATAGAATCCAAAGTCCGTCAATAGATTTCCAGGTGCCTGGTTGCCGAACGCAGCATATCCAAAGCATCCACAACAAAGAAAGAAGACGGTCGTAAGAAGAATAGCTGTTGTTGAGGCCTTCTTCATTGTTTGGTTTTCTGGTGGTGGTGACTTCAGGGTGTCCTTCATAAGCAAACATTGGTGTTCAACTTTTTAGCTTTAGATCAAAAGTTGTCAAATATCAACATCTAAATATATAGAAGGTTGCATCAAAGCATATTGTTTGAACAGAGAGAACAAATGTGACACCTCTATGTCCAAAAGAACGATGTTATATGTGAAAGCAAAAGCGATGTCCCCGAGTGCTTGAGAAGCAAGCCATACTTTTTGAGTTATAGTAGCTGTAGGAACTCCTCTGATGTCCCCTTTAATCTGTCCATCTCCTGCAGCAATACCAAAAATGCGAACACAATTGGAGGTTCACTTGCTTAGATTGATATTATCCGCCCTCACATAGTTCTTTTGAAAGATTAAAAAATCTATCTTACCCAAGAAAAAAGAATTTAAAAGATCTTTGCCTGTAACTAAAAAGCAATTAACCAGTGTTTGATCCTGATGTCCCGTCAATGAGTGATGCTGACATGGGTGGAATAGTAGAAACTTGACATATGACATTATTTACACAAGGTGACTGCTTTCACTCTCAACCACTAGCCCAATCCATTTTTGCTTAATTTCCAAACAGTCCAGATTCTCGTACATAAATATTTGGGGCATAAACTACTGCATGTTCAATAATTTAGCTGACACAATGGAACATATCCATATTAAATATGCAATATTGTCTATCACAAGCTTGTATTACTACAAAACCTGCCACTCTTTGGAAAAAATGAAGAAAAAGTAATATCTACTAACTAATGTGAATGAGAATCATACCTATTACTTTTGCAAAGCCTAGGGCAAGTCCAATAGAGGTATAGGAGAAGGACATGATTGCAGCAATTATTGAGAGCCATTCCATGTTATGGAAATCAGGTATCTGAGAGAACACAACCTGAATTGCTCCAAATAGCAATGTAAATAAGCTTTGATTATATTCACATGGAGCATTGTGCCCTTGCTTGTGGAAACAGTTGGATCTCTGAATTGCTCTGCAACAATAAACCAATTGTTACAAATTACCATATAGCAAAATAGTGCCAAATTGAAACTCGCCAATTAGACATAATTGACAAGAAAAGAACGACAAAGTAAGAAATGTGGAAAAGAAACACTACTATTATTGTTGATGTAGATGATACCATATTTACTGTCAACAGCAACATAAGTAATTAAAGCCAAAGGGTCAGTAGCCAGGACTAAAACAACAACCTGGATACCTTAGCATTCTTTCTTGTTAGTGATGTTAATGAAAGCAGGATAGGAATTTTAGTCGCCCGGAGAAGATGTCTTCTGAATACTGTCAAATATAATGGTTGAATTAGTTGGTATACTCCTATAAAACTAAGGCACATACCAGTGACTTATAGTGAAAGTAAGTCACTTGGAGGGAAGCTAATCTAAGCAGCTAAAAGTATCTGAAAGACTCTTGCATTCTCAAAGACGGCCATACAGTTAGCTTTGGACATTGCACATTGTGCCATTTAATTTCTCAGACAAGAGTTCGACTTCTAGGAATCAAACACGCATTAGCAGAAGTTTAGTATCTGAATAGCGCAATCAAAAGTCAACAGTTTCAACATCTATTTTAAGGGCTGATTCTCTCCGGACAGTGTGCTTGTGAGCACATTGTTTTGCCCTGTGACTGATTATACAACTACCACTTCAATTTATTTTCATCACACTTAAAGCTTGTGCATTTTGTATGCCGGTAACATTACTATTTAAAATTGGTCATACAACTACCACTTCTATAGGACTATTGTTGTAAGTTTTGCATGTGGGCTATGACCAACAAAGTTATGAATGTGTTACTCCTGCAAGTATGCATTTGTTCAGAATTTCATTGGAGTAATAATCCATGTGAACCTTGGACTAGATTTTCTTTGATTCATTCTCAATATTAACTTTGCAGACTTGCTGTAGAGTTCAATAGATCACAGTAAACCCCTAACTACTCTTAGAACAGAGGACTGCAATTACAGGTATCAATATGATTGTGCATACCTCATGCTGATGGCGGATGTGATTGTATAGGCAATCCCATATCCATAATAGCTTTCTTGAACAAAAACCTGGCATACCCACATGCTCTTTCTTCCTGGAAAAATATTATATAGCTGTCATCATGTCTTGCTCATCTTAAAATGCTTTCAGTTTATTAGAGGGGCAGTCTGGAATAATATTTTTTAGGTGAAAACGTAAAATTGAATCACTTCAAATCAAATAATATCTAACTACTTGTAAGTTGAGAGTACACTATAGTAAGCGGAATTTTTAACTTTATGAACCTCATGAAGCCCAATTTAACCAATAGTTACCCCAAGTTTTTGCTTTAACCACCTAAGAAGAGTCATTTATTGATAGCCCTGAACGCTTAAATATTGACAAGATTCAATGTCCTGATAGATTTAACATAAGTTCTCAAGTAATAAATTCATGAAACTATAAGAAAAGCGATATTTAAGGAAATAGAACTAATCTTCAACATACAATAATTTTCTCCATTCTAAATCAATGGCCTACTGCTTGTAGCATTTTTATATTTTCTTGACTGATAGAGTTCCTTTTTAACCCTGGGAAAGTTGAGCATTATATTCCGAATGGAAAAAAAATATGATAAATATACAACACACTGGGCATTACCCAGTGCTATCCACAAGCTTTGTCCATCCTAATAGACAAAATGGCAACAACTACACAAAAAATAGGAGCAAAACATCCTCAAAAGTTTACACCTCATAGAATGTACTAGTTTTTAAACATCATCTGGGAGCAAAACAAGTGGGTAACATAGATTGTAGTAATAAGTTGCATACACTTATACAACACGATTCATGATTGCAACACCTTTAAAGCCAATGCAATATACTAATAAATAAAAACATCTAATAGCCAATTCCCAATTAGAACCATAGCACATCTGCAAAATGGAAAGCTCACAAAATAGAGCAGCAACAAGCACCAAATCAAAGAAATCACAAGAACACAGTACCAATTAATAACATCATATCTGTAAGACGATAGTTTGGCAACTAATGATAAATTCCATTCTGTAGGTAAATATGGTGCATGGTGACTATTCCTTTCATATTGGGAGAGTATTGAAAAATATCTCAACACTAAAGGCCATACAGTTCAATTTTAAAAGAAAAATTGCAGAATATATAGTTTGAACTTGGCACATTGTTCTTACCTAAGTAGGACTTCACAGCTTCAGCATAAGATCGATTTCGGGCAGGCCCATATGCAGGATCAGGAGATCTATAGCTATCACAAAGAAGAAGTGAAGAAATGATGGATACTACTCCAAATACCACCATGAATGTAGGACCTGCAATCCAACCTAGCTGAGCCACACTCCATGCCAGTGACAACACCCCAGACCCTATTACTCCTGTTATTATATGGGCAATTGCTGTCCACACATTCCCTGTTCATTGAACCCACAAATATTAAGATTTAAATCTTCATTATAAGCATCAAATGAGAAATTGAGTCTTCAAAGAACCATAATACTTGTAAGAATATCATAGCAACATACATTATGCACCTAGCATTAACTGGATTGTTTTGTTCTAGTATGTAGATTTGTATATATGAATTTTAGGGGTGATAATCAACTTTTGAACTAACCTGTCCTCTTGAAAGACCCATTGGATTCAGTAGAAGATGATGGAATATCTGTGAGTAAAGGGGTGGTGGTCTGTTCATCTTGTCTTTCAACCATGGTGGTCTTCAATTCACCCTATTTCTCCGTCTCAAAGAGAATCGTAGCAGAATTTAACGCTCAAACAGTGTTTGCCACTTTCTAGACACCATTTCATCTGCTCATTTGTTCTTTTCAAGAACAGCAGGCTTGTTTAATCACTGCACGATAATTATTGCTTTTAACCGGACGATTGTAAACTTAGAAATCGAATTTCGGACTATGAAGAATTTAATACTTTATTTTTTAAATTGATGGCCGATTTTTGAGAGAGATTAGTTGAAGATATTTTTTTTTATATTGATTAGTTGAAGATATTTAATATCCATGTTGACTATCAATTTTTAATATCAGACTTTTATTATATTTTTAAAGACATGAGCTCTATTTTTTGGATCTTCAACGACATCTTTGTCTGATTAAAAGTGTCAATTAAAATATAATTTTATTAAATTATTCATGATATATTTTAGAAAAAATTTCATTCACACCTCCTCTACATAGACATATCTTCAATAAAATTTCTTTTATTTTTTAAATCTTTTTATATATTAAATTTTTGGCCGATTAAAATTTGATTTGACTTAATTCAAATTTATTTTTTATATATTAAAATTTGAGTCTATTATATTTTTTTACATATTAAAATTTGAACCAATTAAAATTCTATTCGAAGTTCAAATCAAATTTTAATCAATTCATATTAAATCTTAATCGACCTAATTTTTAATATATAAAAATTTTAAATTTTAATTGACTCAAATTTTAATATGTAAAAAATAAATTTTAATCAACTTGAATTGAGTTTTAATAAATAAAAAAAATATAATTTTTTATCAATTCAAAGCGAATTTTAATCAGAGTTAACAGTTTAAGTAGAACTCAAATTGACTCGAATTTTATTACGTAAAAGATTTATAATAGGCTCAAATTTTAATACGTAAAAAAAAAATTAATCACCTCAAATTTTAATATGTAAAAAAAAAAATTTAGTTAGCTCAAATTTTAATATGTAGAAAAATAAATGTTAATCGATTCAAATTTTATGCAAAAATATTATTTGGAGTGTATCTAGGGGCAATTCTAGTATTTTAAATAATTTATTTTTGTTATAAATTGTGGCTTAATGACTTGAGTGTGATGTTTAAATATAAAATAAAATGAGTGTTAATGATGTTTTTGATAATAAAGAAGTTATTTTTAAATATATAATAAATTAAAACAAAAGATGTGACTGATATTTTTCCTAAACAAAATTATTGCTTTTTGACCATTGGACTCTTGTCAGTGGAGCTGGGTGACTCGTACCCACTAATTAGGGTGTTCATCTTCCGAGTAGGTAATATGATTTTTTGTCTTTTTATATGATATTTTGAAGAAAAATTTTATTTTAGTCTATTCTAGTCGATCAAGTGTGACATTTTTATTCGACTTTCGGCCAAATTAATTGGGTTAAAAGTTGGATAAATATTTTTGTAGTTCTTAATTTTTGAATTATTCTAACAATTTAATTAAATAATATGCATCAATTTAACGACACAATAAACCAATAACACTAAAATCTAAAACAATTACAATAACAATTATAATAAAACACATGAAAGCATAAACATCAATTTATCATAATTGTTACGCAAATACAATAACAATTATTTTAAGCATAAACTATATGGTTAGAGAATTTGGATTTTCAGTTTATATATATGTTTAAACTTAAATATAAATATTTATATATAAATATACATATATATATATATATATTAATTCGGATAGTGTAGGGTAGGAATACAAAAATTAATAACTATTCCGCATTCTTATCCAATTTAATTAAAAAACCAAAAATTCTTTCGCATTCCTACGTGATTTTTTTGGTTATCCATTCAATAGGATCGGGTAGGGTAGGAAATTTGCTGCTAATCAAAATTTTGAACACCTCTACCACTAATAAACAAATAAATATTTCATTACCTTGGTATTTTCAAAAAACTCCTCTTAGATAAGCGTGCCAAAAATAATTTGAACATTTAATTTTAAATTAAATAATTATTAATTATATAATTAAAAAATATTAAAATAAAAAAATACCCGTGTTATATTTTTATTAATTAAGACACGAATATATAATACTAAAAAATATATTTTGTGGTGGTAAAACTTCACCGTGATATTGGGTATAATATCTCAATTTTCAAAAAATTGTATACATCAAATTGAAGTTCCTAACTAACAAATTTCTTTTTATTATTAAAAGTTTCATCATCTGGATATTCTTTTTTTGTTTGACTTACCATATTTGTACATTAAAAGAGTCGTACAATTATAGATTTAGGTATAAGTCATTTAAATATCCGCTTAGGCCCCGGTAAAAGAAGGACCACAATTTCTATATATGATGTTCTTAGTATTTACTAATCTGGCCCAAAAGTCTTCGAAAATCTAAGCCCACAAAGATCCAATTTTTTTTGGGTTTTTTAGGTAGGGAAATTTAGAGGTCGATTTACCTATATAAATTTGTTTGAACTTAAGTCTGTTAAGAAAACTTAATTGTTATGAAGTCTATTTTTTGTCAATTTTATTGTACTATCCCTTCACTTTAGAAATGAAATAAAACTAAAAATTAAAAACTCTTAAACCTTAGGAGTTTAACTAACATTAAAAATATTTTCTCTCTCATATATATCTATATCCATATATAGGTAAAGAGTTTGACTAACATTAAAAAAAATTTTGACTAACATTTATATCCATATATAGGTAAAAAGTTTTTAATATATATATTAACATTAAAAATAAAAAATAGTAACATTCAAATACAAAAAAAAGTTATCATTTGGACACAAAAAATAATACATTTAAACACAAAACAATAGTAACATTTAAACATAAAAAAAATTAAAATATTTAATATTAATCTTTTAAAAAAATAACAATAGTAACATATTCAACAAAAATAGTAACATACTTAACAAAAACTGTAACATATTTAACAACTAGTCATAACTCATGCCTAAAGGCACGATAGAACAAAAAATGTGAGTCCTAAAAAATCGATATTACTATATTAAATAATAAATTTTTTTCCTTCATTTATTTGATTAAATCATTCAAAATTTATTTTTATCCATTATTTTTTTGAAGATATTGATAAAATTTTCTCAAAATATGTAATTCTATAATTTTTTTTAACAGATCTATACTATCGTGTATGAATAATATCTGAAATAAAAATTATGTTAAATTATAAATTAATCAAATATTAAATGTTGTACATGTGATAAAAATGAGTGATGTGATATTTTGGGGTGGAAATATGTAGGGGATAATATTCAACTTCCTATTTATTTTATTATATAGATTTGTATAGATATAAGAGAAAATTTCATCCAGATCCTATTTAGTTAGGTTTAAATTCAATGATATACTCTTCCGATTTTGAAATTTCACTGTCACTCCTTGTTAGTGATTGTTGTACACAGTTAATGGTAATGGTTGATTTATAAAAATATCTTCGAGCATTTTATAGGGTAAATTTTATACACACTCTATATAAATAAACCTAACTTTAACAACACCACTTGTAAATAAACCTAACTTTAACAACACCCTCTCTTAATTTTGAAATTTCAATACACTCTCTTTTACTTCTATTATATTAGCCTTTATTTTGATCAATTTCATTCAATTTTATCAAATTAATTTTCTTTATTTAACTTAAACTAAATTAACATTTCATCTCATCAAATATTCAAATCAATACAAAATTGATATTTAATTTTATCAAATTAGCATGTAGTTATATTAATTTAATATTTCATTTCATCAAATTAATATTATTTCTTTAATTTAATATTAAGTTATTATTTATTTTTATCAAATTTTCATTCAATTTTATTAAATTAAACTATTTAATTTATTAAATTCCATTAATTTAAAATTTAATCTTATCAAATTAATGTCATTTCTTTAATTTAACAACAAATGAACATTCAGTTTTATTTAAATAACATTCCAATTTATTCAATTAACATTAAATTCAATCAAATTAATACTAAATTAATATTTAATTTTACCAATTTAAAACTAAATTAATATTTAAATTTATCAAAATTTAGATCAAATTTATTCAATTAATATTAAATTTTATCAAATAATTTTAAATTTTATATATGAAGTATGATGTGTGAGGAGCTGTCGGGTGACGTTGTGGAGGACATAGAAATGAATGAGATTTTGACATTAATTTTATCAATTGTAATTTTTATTATAAAAAAAAAATTATTTTTAACTATAAAAATTATTATGGTCAAAAATATATAAAAATTAGAAAAACTTGATTATGTAACAAAATGAGTGATAATATGATAACTAATATTATAACGAAATTATCATACTACGTTTTAAAATAAAAAATTTATTGGGATAATATAATGATTGAAATTACGTTTGTTGGCTGGCTAACGCATATATAATGAGGAAAGAATTGATGACATTTTAGTTTATTTACATAATAAAAGATAATTTTATTATTTTTCATAAAATATTTAATTAAATTATTATTTTATCTACGGATATAGACAAAAGTTGTTGTTATAAGTACTACGTGATGTTTAGATGAAACTTATCCTAGATATAACATGTAGATATAGTATATCTTCGATTTTTGTACTATATATATGTACAGTAAAGATGTATGTGTGATATGAACAATAATGATGGAGAGCAGAGTTCCATTAGGATATAATTTTGGGAAAAACACGTGTCTCAGTTTGGAAAGAGAATCATGAAAGATGAGAGTGTGAGAGACAGTCAATGTTTCAATATAGAAAGTGATCTCTTAGCATAGAAAATAAAATCAGGGAGATAATGATAAGAATTGTAATTTGAATTTAAGGGAGAGAGAAACAGAGTTGAGGAATGAAATATCACTTAATTGCCGAATTTGATTGAGTTGGGGAATTAAATTTAAGGATGTTAGTTTTGGAAACTAAAAGTTTTTGAGCGGCAAAAAATTTTCAAGAGTTAATATCGTACGTCGGATCGAAACGATCTGAGATGTTAATAGCTTAAGACAGTTTGAAATATCGTCGGCCGTTGGATAATGCCTTTTTTGATCTCGAAACGATCTGAGCCACTTTTTGTCTCTTGAATTCAAAATCATTTTACTTTATTTTATAGATAATTATTTCTCTCAAATTCAAACGCAAAAAATAGTACAATTCAAACATAAAAAATAGTAATAT